CTTCAAGATTCTTAAAATTAAGGTTCTCAAACTGTATCTGTACTAGAAATTCTTCCGTTTTAAAGTACGGTGGGAATTTATCGATCGAATTTACTTGATCGAAAAAACGTGAACTTAACGTGAAATCTGCTACAGAATTTAGGAATGCAGATGTTAATTCCATAAATCCTTCAATCACAAAATGTACATAGTATAATGATTTTCCAGGGAAATCCTTGACTTAAATACATGAATTACATTATTAAAATTATGAGATTTTTTCCTTGGTCACTACAGGTACCATATTCAACAGTTTAGAAACGGTGGCCAACCAATAGGACCACAAGAGTTATTCAATTATTATCACTCTTCACTGTGTAATTGCATAGAGAGGTCCTTTGGGGTCTTGAAAGCAAGGTTTAAAATTCTTAGGCTTATGACCAATTATTAAATGCCAAGACAATCGCTTATACCAATTGCTTGTTGTCTGATCCATAATTTAATTAAGATGCACGCGCTAGATGATCCTCTATTTAGACAATATGATGTCGATTTGCCCTTGGAAGATATTGATGGAGAACAAGAAGGGCAACAGGGACAACAACAGGGTATGGACACACAAGAAGCAGAAACATCCGAAATGGGTGGTCGGTGACAACGTAATGACATGGTTAGTTTTAGGGATCATCTAGCTGATCAAATGTGAGATTCGTATATATGGCAGTAATATAAGCTAAGATTATTCACTAAGTAAACTTTTTTTTACTAATCAATCACTAAGAGGTTGTTTGGTTGGGGGATTCGTTTCCTAATTCGAATCATGGTTCGTGGTTCGCTACAGTATTTTCTCTCACAAAAAATACACGTAAATCGAAAATGGTTCTAATCACATGGTCTAATCTATGAACCAAACGTCTCCTAAGTTATCCTATTTTAAATTATTTACTATTTATTTATAATGTAATTTAAATTATTTTATTAATTATTAGTGTTTTTATTTGGGATTCAATTATTATTTATTTAATATATTATTATTTTAAAGATCATTACATGTTTTTAAAAATTAAACCACGAAACGCAGTTTCAGTTTTTTTTTAAAAACTAAAATCAATCTCTGAATGAAACTACCAAACGCACTTTCAGAAATAATTCTGAAATGAAAATGAAAACGTTTTCATTTTCATTTTCATACAGCAAACAAAATTATTTTAGAACGAGTTCCAAACGCGCCCATTGTTTTTTCTTATGCTATTATTGTTTTTTGGTGATGATGCAGTATTTTTCTTCTTTTGTTGCCATGTATTAGGTAATTGTTAGTAATGATTTTACTGTCTTTGATGTTGCCCGAATTATTTGGAATTTTTACAAATATGATCCTCTTCTCCAACATGTTCTATCTTTATTTTTTTTTTTACATGCTTACTATTTTTTTTTTTTACAAAGATAATACATGAAAAGTATTATTAATCAGAGTTTTTATTTCGTAATATTATTTAACAATTGATTTATATATCTATTATAAAAGATAGAGCATATTGTTTATTAAAAAAAAATAAAACATTAAGATCTTTATAAATACATGTTTGTAATTATGTTAAAATTATTTACATATTCTAAACTGATGTTTATAATAAAATCTAAAATAATTTATTGACATAATTTAACCAAAAAAAAAATTTAACTTGATATATACTTTATAAAATTAATTGTAATAATAATTATACATTTGTAATATGGAAAAGAATTAAATTGTCTCCAATAAAACCATTATCGTAATCTTTAAAAATAATTGTTACTTAACATTATTACTATTACAATGTTATGTATTGACAATTTAATTTATAAAAAAAATATAACACTATATGTTAATCAAATATAACAAAAAATAAGAAACACTAAGTATTTCATAAATTTATATTCATAAGTTTTTGTATACATTTCTCCTTGCTTATAAGTTAAGTTCATAATTCACATTCATAATTCAATAAAAAAAGATACATAAAATATAAATAATAAATTTATTACAATTATATTTTAAGATATATAAACATTTGAAATTTTTGTGTATAATGTTTTCATAAAATGTATGAGCATAATTTAACGTAAATTATTTATTTAAATATGAAATAGATTAAATGAAATATGATAATAAAGATGGATAAATAATGTAGAATTAAAATTATTTTATCTTTAATAAAACTCTTATTATAAATACAAATAATAGAGTTTAGCTAACTTCAATATTTCTTTTTTCATAATCTAATATTAAATAAAAAAAATCACTTTTTTATTTCATGAATTTCTTTATGATTTATTTCTTTAATGGTTTTAATCATGTTATTATCTTTGATATTTGTTTTTTTTCTACATTTGTCTTTCACTAAAAATTTAAATAAGCATTTGATACTTATACTTTGGGAACATGTTAAAATTTTTATGTCCGTGTGATAGTAAAAAATACGTTAATATAATTCTAAAAATATTAAATAAAATGTTCATATAATTTATTTCCATAATGTGGCATAATTTATCTAATTTCGTTCATAATTTATAAGACAAAACATAATATTTAACAGCCTAATCATTATTTTATAATTAATTATTATATTATCTACTCTAACTTTACTATTAAATAGATAAATTAACACCAGCAGCGGGTAACCTACTAGTAAATACTATGATAAATCCAAACTGTTACAATTCTAGAACCTAAAATAATTGATGCATACTCAATTCTCAAACTAATTATATACCGCATCACACATTATGTCCCACATTAAAATTTCCATGTTAGTTTTTCGATTTATGCTTTTCTAGTTTCTTCTACTATTTTAAGAGTTCAAGAAGCATTTTTCTTTTTTCTTTTTTTAAGAAAAATTAAGGGATGAAAAATTAAGGGATTTAAAAAATTGTCACCTACTTAGAGTCCGTATAGTTTAGACTATAATTCTGATTATATTATGATATTTTTCTTTTTATAAAAAATTTGAAAACAAAAATCCATGTCAAAAGAACTTCCTAGGTAAGTAACTAGCTTTTTCCGACTTTTCATTTTCTCAAAGGTACCTGCCATTGGATTGAAAACTAAATTGATATTCATATGTATTTAAAAAAAAATCTAAACTCTATATATACATTATCTATGGAAATTTATGTACATATATTCGTTTGAATTTGCCGATTACAGGAATCGGAAGGAAAATCTTTGTAAATTGTGGACATTTAGTTTATGGACTCAGAATCATGGTTCAAAATTATTCTTAATTTATATATTTTTTTGTGAGAGAAAATACTATAACAATCACAAATTATGATTCAAATTATAGTACAAATCTACCAATCAAACACATACAGATCCGATTACCACCTCTAATAGAAAATAATAGCAACCTCCTTGTTTAGGATAAACAACTCAGAAAACACTTGATTCCAGAAAAGATCGAAGGCTATTTGTAGGCTTTATACCCACTCATATTCATAACTCAACGTTCAAACTGAAAATAAAAAAGGACTCAAAAATTCCAAAACTCCCAAAATAAATACTAAAAAATTCAAACCAATCCCAATAAATCAATATAATAGAAATGGCAAAGCCATTTCCTGTTCCGGAAAACCCGAGATTTCGACCGAAACGGCTACATTTTGGTCGAAATCCCAGCCTTTTTTTTTTTTTTTTTTTTAAATCCTTTTTTTTTTTTTTTTTTTCAAATCCTTCTTTTTTTTTTTCTTTTTTTTTTTATATTAAAACTTATTTATTTATTCATTTTAGTCTTTTGGTAAACTTAACCTGGATTACTTCCGACGTACATCGCACGTAGAATGAAACTAGTACTATGATAAATCCAAACTCTTAGACCATTTTCATTACAAATGTTAATACCAATTGTATATTTATATTTTAGTATCAAAAATTATGATACAATATACTATTTTTATTTTTACTCCAATGCATAATGATATTTGAAATGCTAAATATACTTTTTTTTATAATTATTAAGTTTTAAAAATCGTAAAAGTAAACTTTTATTTTTAAAATAATTAGAAAAGGTAACAGTTGCATTGATTACATAGAAAAAGTAAACATTTCAATCAATAATAATCAAATGTCAAATTTTTCATATGCTATATATTTAGTGAAAAATTTACCATAAAATATAATATATAAGAAACTTAACACAACAAATAGCATCGAATTAGATACTATTTTTTATACTTAAATGTTAAATTTATAATTCACACATTAATTATAGCATTATATTAGAGACGTTCTTAGAATTCTATACCAAAACCTTCAAATTCCAAAACTCCAAAAATAAATACTAAAAATTCAACATCTTAGAATTCCCAAACCCAATAAATACTATAATAAATCCAAACTGTTAGAATTCTAAAACCCAAAATAATTGATGCATACTCAATTAAATACTAAAAATTCAACATCTTAGAATTCCCAAACCCAATAAATACTATAATAAATCCAAACTGTTAGAATTCTAAAACCCAAAATAATTGATGCATACTCAATTCTCAAACTAATTATATACCGCCTCACACATTATGTGACACGTTAAAATTTCCATGTTAGTTTTTCGATTTATGATTTTCTAGTTTCTTCTACTATTTCAAGAGTGCAAGGAGCATTTTTCTTTTTTTCTTTTTTTAAGAAAAAATAAGAAATGAAAAAGTTATCACCTATTTAAAACTCGTTTAATTTAAATGTTTACATTTATAATTCTGATTATATAATAATATTTTTTTATAAAAAATTTGAAAAAACAATTCCCATTAATTAATTCTCTTACGAAATTTTAATTAAAAATCAAAATTACTCACTTAAACCGATAAACTAAACTGGCCATTAACTATTTTCTGCTAAAATAAAAACCCAAAAATGCAAAGAATTCTAAACAATACAAAGTCAAGGTCAGCGAGTGTACGGACGTACCACGTCAAAAGAACTTCCTAGGTAAGTAAATAGCTTTTTCCGACTTTTCATTTTCTCAAAGGAACCTGTCTACCGTTGGATTGAAAACAACAACAGAATGCTCTTCTTCCTTTCCGAAAGAGAGAAAAAAAAAAAAAAAAAAGAAAGGATTCCGATCAATATATCTTTGTTTGAATGCATGTTAGTGCTCTGTACTGCAAATCATCTTTTTCACACTTGCTTCTCAATGTTGGTGTTGGGGGGGGGGTTTTTTTTTTTTTTTTTTTTTTTTTTAAGCTAAGAAAAAGAAGCCCATTTTATGCTTTGTAGCTAAGCAACCCTTTTTATTTTTATTCTCTGTTTCAATGCAGATATATAAGAGGAGTTGAGTGGTAGAGATATAGTTGTGAAAGCTTGGTAAAAGAAAAAAGATGGGAGGGCAAACGTCAAGAGAGAGAAAGAGAAATCCCACTGATCCTTTCACTGATACTGTGTTTTCTTCGTCAGTGGAAGACATTTCCAATGAAAATCTTTATAAAGACAAGGTTTTTGCTTATAACTCCCTTCTTTCATGTTCTCATTTCTCTTGGCATGGATTAGTTTCATTGAAGTTGGGATGACACAAATTTTTGTACTTTTTGCATTTTTTTTTTTTTTGGATTGGGTTTTGGTGTAAAATTTTTTCCCCTATTTTCATGTTTCTCTTTGTGTAGTATTATGTTGGATGATTGTGCAGCTTTTTCGAAGCTTTGCAACTCGGACCCACCTAGTATTCAACTAATTTCCATGTTTGTGCCATGATGAAGATTTTTGATATGTATAAAATTTCTAATAAAACCTTTGGGAACTTTTTTAACTTGCGAGTAAACAAGTTATAATTTTTAGATTCTTCTTACAAATTTTAGACGTGTGAATTTATAGGTAATACATACTAAAGAGTTAAACAAGTTATGATTCTTGAAAAAGAAAAGAGTTGTGAGGTTTCACATATTGTTTATGGTAAACCAACAAAATAGACAATGTTTCATTTTTATTATTTCTTTTAGAACAAAATAGAAAATGTTGAAGAAGTAAAAACATGTTTGTCATTCGTGGACAGGACTCTGAAAGATCTAAGCCTTCTTTCCTTTGACTTATCTATTTCACAGTTGTTGAATAAAAAAATAAATAAATAAGCCTCTGATTGGACGTGTTTGAATCCACACGTATGTAATATAACTGATTATCACTCTTAGGAATCATATTGATGTTTATATATATGCATATCTGTGTGTGTGTATTTATATTTATACTCTGCATGGTCGCTTCATTATATGTTTAACCGGATATGTTGTTTGGTGCTGCCAACTTACTGGGAGTAATCACTATTATCATTAATGTGCGTATAAAAGCTTTTGTCAGAATAATTGCAAGTTATTTGTTTAGATGATAAACTTTTCATTGATGATACACACTAAAAAAACAGAGTTGATGTCAGAGAAGTCACTTTTGACGGTTATATTTAAAGAAGTTATACTAAAGACTTTAGCTTCTCCACCTATTGTATTGAAATGTAAAAACTCCCGTTCTGAATTCCTTTTCATTGTGGTTTTATTGTGTTCTCAAAGCTCATTTACAATGATGTTTAAAAGTTTAAACCAAGTTTCAGTTGTTTTTATTGCCTGCAACAGCAAAACCAGCAACCTATCATTCCGAGTTGAGCTTTTACAGCTAAAACATCATACAAGTTGTAATCTTTTTAATTCATGTTCTGAACATTAATTTCTTTAGGTATAAAAGAATTCCTGAATCATTTCAATCATTTCATTCCGAATTGAGCTTTTACATCTAATCCATCATATAAGTTTCAGTTATTTTTTTTTAAGATGATGTGTCATAAAATTAGTGATTATACACAGTTTGAGACATCAATTTTTAGACAGAGGATCTCAGTCCGTTTTTTTTATTTTAAAATTTCATCGCAAGTGGGAATTAAAATTAGCCCACGTACTTCCTCACACTCTTCAGCTTTCCAATATTCTCTCTGCAGACGTTATGATGAAAAATGAGTACTCTAACTCTTGGAAATCCCCACAACTCCACCTCTTCCGCTTCTCAACTGAATATTTAGATTACTTCACCACACACAACTTTTGTTTTTTTTTTTTTGTTTTTTTCCCCTCCTTTTGCGTGGGATTTCTTCTTCTTCTTCTTCTTCTTTACATGCCAGTAAACTCAACTAAAACATTGATTTTGTTGCAGCAACTTATGGGAGCTGGGGAATCTTCCAACAAGTTAATGCTAGAAGTTTCCAAGCTCAAGATTAGCTTGAGTACTCATCATGGTGGATTTAGAAACAGAGATCAGTACTATCTTCCGGGCCCACTCTTTGGTCCCTACTCTTTTGTAAACATTTCTTGTGGAAAAGAAGAAATGGACGATGATGATCAACATAACAGGAAAAATATGGTTGAAGTTGCTGTTGTGGTTAGAGCTGTCCAGAATCTCTACAAAGGTATGTACTTCAACATTTGAGAAAAGTTTTCCTTTTTTGTGCTTTCTTTGTTTTTTTATTATTTATTATTATTATTATTTTTTTTTTTTGTAAACTCCATTCTTTGCATGCATGCCCTTCAAGAGTAATATATTCTTCAATATTTAAGAAAAGTTTTCTTTGTATTGTCTATATGTGTGAATGTTTTTCTTTTGATATGTCGTGTTTATGTTTTTTGTTTGTTCTTTTCCATAAAATTCTATTCCTTCGATGACCATGAGTACTAATATTTCCACATGCATTAACAACTTTTCCTTGTATTGCCTATATATACACATATATATGTATGATTTTTTTCTCTTTTGATATATATTTATTTGTATTCAATATATATATATATATATATATTTCCCACTCAGCATGGAAGGGCTTCAGAAAGCAGCTTAGCATTGCTGTGGCATCTCCATATACTGCTCAAGTTGACGAAATAAAAGACAAACTTGGAGAGAAGTACAAGAATCTTGATAAATTTATAGTGAAAGTGTTGACGTTTGATGAGTTACAAGGAAAAGAAGAGGATATAATAATATTATCCACTGTAAGATCAAACTGTGACGGATCACTTGGATTGCTTTCTAATAACCAAAGAGTCAATAATGTAGCTTTGACAACAGCCAGGTACACATACACTGGTACATAATACCCTTTTTGGATGAACATGATGCAATTAAATTGTATCATTTGTTTTTTCATTTGAATGCAGACAGTGTCTTTGGATTCTGGGAAATGAAAGAACTTTGTCAAAAAATGATTCTGTTTGGAAATCGATTATATGCGACGCAAAGAATCGGAATTGTTTCTTCAATATTGAGGAAGACAAGGAGATGTCAGACTTTGTAAATGAAATCAAGAAAGAGCTTGATCAATTGGATGAGGTGTTTGATGCTAATAGTCCCCTTTTCAAGAATGCTAGGTGGAAGGTATTTGACATATTTTATCTTATTATCTTTGACTCTTGTTTGATTCGTAAGTATTAATCTTTTCTTTTCTGATGCTCTCAGGTTCTGTTCAGCGATAACTTCAGGAAATCATTCGGTAAGATTAAGTCATTGCAGATGAAGAAGTTAGTCATGAACCTGTTACTGAGGCTTGCGAATGGCTGGAGACCGAAGCAGAGGAATGTTGGCATAATCTGTGATAAATCAAAACTTGCTCTGAAACAATTCAAGGTTAAAGATCTTTATGTTATTTGTTCAGTTGACATAGACCATGAGGAATTTCGGTACATCCAAGTTTTGAAGGTCTGGGATTTGCTGCCGCTGGTGGACATTCCAAAACTGGTCAAGAGACTTGATTCCATGTTTCTGACATACACTGATAAGTTTCTTAATCATTGCAAGGAAAAATGTATTGAAGGGTAAGTCCAGTATGAAACATTATTGGTGATTCAAATGTTGTTTTACTTGTGAAGTTGTTAGTAAGATCTATTATAATTAGTTGATACCTTATTTCATTTTTGGCTTTAGGGGTTTGGAGATTCCAATGAGCTGGGAAACATCCCATCACATTGTGCGTCACAAGAAATCTAGCTGCATTCAAGAAGGAAATAATGAAAGAAGGTTTTTGCAGGATTCAAAGGTCGGTGACAGTTTGCTGCTTACGAAATTCTATTCAATCTCGTCTGGTATGGTGAGCGACTTGCTCTCTAGCTGCAATGGCATGGAACTGGAACTTCCATTCGAATTGACTAGACAAGAAATGGAGATAATCAATTTTGGTAAAAGCTCCTTCATTCTTGGGAGGTCAGGAACAGGAAAAACAACAGTCCTTATTAGAAAGTTAGTTCAGATAGAGCAGTTATATCATGTAGCTTCAGAAGGTTTCCATGAATTCAAAGGTTGTAGATCCTCCAAGTTTGAAATAGCAGAAGATGGTGAAAGAGTTGAAGAAAGCGAGGAGACGTTTCTGCACCAGATTTTTGTGACTCTCAATCCACGACTATGTTGTGCTGTAAAACAACATGTTTCTGGATTGACAAGGTGTGTGATTGTCGAAAGCATCATGATTAGTATATGGTTGTTTGTATATGTTTTCCTTTACTCTTTCTTTTCCCCGTCTTTCCTTTTTCCCGTCTTTCCTTTTTGAAAGAGCACTAACTCTAATAACTCGTTTTTTTTAAAGGAATTAAAGTAGGTTATATCATGATACATTCTAGAGAATCTTTCAAGGCAAAACTTGTGTTCTTTGTGTTGCTTTCTTTTTTCACTCACTAGTCTGAATAGATAGGTGATCAACATGCATGCACTCATATATCAAATATTGTGCATATTTGTTGTAGTTTTAGGGGTGAATGATAATTTTCTCATTGATCAAAACGTATATACAGCCCCCTTTTATACATAAAGACCCCGGTCACCCTAATGCTAATTACACCAATTACTAATTCTAACGGAATCGGGGAACAAAGGGAAAAAGGAAACAAATCAGTAAAACAGGAAATTACTCAAAAAAAGAAAAGGAAACTAATTAATAGAGATATTTGGAAATGATTCCAAATCTCTTTATTCCTATTCTACTTTGTCAAATATTCTAGGATCTCTGAATTTCCTAGCCGAGTATTTCAACATATATATATATATATATCTATATATAAGCTGTTGTTTTCATTGGAAAGGTTCTTTTCTTCTGATTTGTCCCCATTTTGAATGCTATAGGTTTGCTTGTGGTGAGAAATCTGCAGAAGATTCGACTTCAATTCGTTTGGATGATATGGATGATGTATCGAATTTTGAAGAAATTCCAGATTCTTTTGTCGGTCTCCCTCCTAATTTATACCCACTTGTTCTAACATTTCACAAGTTTCTCATAATGCTGGATGGAACATTAGGCAATTCATTCTTTGATAGATTTCCTGAAGCAAAGGAAGATTCTAATGAAAGTTCAAAATCAATGGCCTTAACCACATTTATTAGAATGAAGGAAGTTAACTTTCACAAGTTTAACATTTCTTATTGGCCTCATTTCAAAAAGAAGTTAACCAACGGTCTTGATCCCTCCACAGTTTTCGCGGAAATAACGTCTTATATAAAGGGTGGACTGCAGGCTTGGAATGTTCGTGATGGAAAACTTAGTTGCAAGGATTATATTTCGCTGTCCAGTAGCCGGGTGTCAACATTAAGTGAACCTGAAAGGCAGCAGATATACGAGATTTTTATGCAATATGAAAAGAAAAAGAAAATGAATGTTGAATATGATTTGGCTGATCTAGTGACTGATCTTCATCTTCGACTCAAAGAAAAAGAGTACGAGGCTGCCAAGTTTGACTTTGTATATATCGATGAAGTGCAGGATTTAACTATGGGCCAGATTGCACTTTTTAGACATGTGTGTAGAAATGTGGAAGGTGGTTTTGTTTTCGCCGGTGATACTGCGCAGACAATTGCAAAAGGGATTGACTTTAGATTTGAGGACATTCGCCACCTTTTCTATGAGGAATTTGTAATGAAATCAAGAGGTGATAGAATCTATGGGAGAGGAGAGAAAGGTGTAATTGCAGGCATATCCCAGTTGAGCCAGAACTTTCGAACTCATGCGGGTGTTTTGAAGCTAGCTCAGAGTGTTATTGACCTTGTTTATCATTTTTTCCCACTCTCTATAGATCCCTTGAACCCTGAGACAAGCCTCATCGATGGGGAAACTCCAGTATTGGTTGAATCTAGGAATGGTAAAATTGAGTTCTCTTTCATGTTGAGTAATTCTGGAGATTGTGGAAGGAGTCTGGTTGGCTTTGGAGCTGACCAGGTTGTCTTGGTAAGAGATGACAACGTCAAGAATGAAATTCTGAAATACAGTGGGAATCATGCTCTTATATTAACAATATCCGAGTGCAAGGGCCTAGAATTTCAGGTGATTAATATTAGATTATGGATCGAGTTGGAGATGTCCGAAATAAGCTTTGAGATGAATTTTATGTATTATGTTTTCTTTCTTTTATTTTGTTTTAAGTTGATAATGCATGTTGTTAAATTTTTCCATCAATCTTAATTCTTCTAGTTCCATCGTGTCCAGAAATATTATATTCTTCGGAAACATCTTACTTTTAAAGAACATATCTATGTTATTTTATGTTTGAAGTCAAACTGGATAGTTCAATTTTACCTTCCACTCAAGCACTTTTGTTTACTTACCATGTTTCCTTTCTTGTCACAGGATGTCCTGTTGTACAATTTCCTTTCTTCATCACCTATCAAAGAACAATGGAACCTCATATACTCTTTTATGAAGGAAAAGAATATCCTTGGCCATACATCACGGTGGTCGTTTCCAAGTTTGGACCATGCTAAGCATAGACTTTTGTGTTCTGAGCTGAAGCAACTGTATGTGGCTATTACTCGTACAAGGCAAAGGCTATGGATTCTTGAGACTGGTGACGGTGAAGGGTTTTCCGCACCCATGTGCGACTATTGGAAAACGATGCAACTTGTCAAAGTTCGAGGACTTGATGATTCATTTTTGGAGGAGATCCAAGTTTGCAGCAGCAAAGAGGAGTGGAAGTCGAGAGGCATTAAGGTCTTTTTTGTTTACTACTATGTTGTTTAATAGAAGTACTATTGTCGAATACCACAAGGTGACAAACTCTATCTTATACAAAGGAATTTTAAACAATTTCCATGTTTTTTATTGTGCAGCTTTTCAAAGAACAGAAGTATGAGCCTGCAAAAATGTGCTTTGAAAGAGCAGGAGAGGCGTTTTTGGCAAAGTGGGCTGAAGCTTCTGGCCTTCGAGCTGCTGCTTGGAATATAAGCACTTCAAATTCTGATGTGGCTGGGGTGTATCTCAAGAATGCTGCTATAATATTCAATTCTATTGAAAAATTTGAGGAAGCTGCCAAGTGCTTCTACGAATCGAAGGAATACAATTTGGCTGGTATTTTCTTCTATATTTCTGGACAAATTTTTTCTTTCCATGCAGTACAAAGTGTTAGTTTACCAATCCATCCCAAAAGCTTCAGCTATTAGGAGGTGGACTAACAATAGTTTTATACTTTAATACTCCCTCCCGACAATCGTGTGGATGGGAAATTAATTAGAAAGCCCAACACGTGAATATTTAAGCCCGAGATATATTAAAGGCCTAACATGACAATTTAAATAGGGATGAAGAGTGCAATTATGACGGTTTGAGCTCATGACCTCCCGCTCTGATGCCATGTTAGTTTACCAATCCATCCCAAAAGCTTAAACTATTAGAAGATGAGCCAATAATAGTTTTATACTTTAACACAAAGGAAGAAATTTGATCTTAGTTTCGTGTGACAAGTTTATGGAGTTTTTTAGTGTAAAACAAAAAAAAATAATGCACTTATTTAAGGAGTTTTTTAGTGAAAAAAAAAAATCATGTTATTGAATAATGCACTTATATTTGTATAATTTTTTGTCCGATTATACTGTTCATGCAGGTTCTATTTATCTGGAAAATTTTGGGGATTCTAAGCTACAAGAAGCTGGAGAATGTTTTGTTCGAGCACGGTCTTATGAGCGTGCAGCTTTTGCATATGCCAAGGGCAACTTCTTCACTAAATGTTTGGAATCTTGCCTTCAGGGAAAACTATTTAACAAGGGACTTCATTACATTCCCTACTGGAAAGACCATGCAACCCAAAATAATTACATGACAAGAGACATGAATGAAATCGATGCAATCCATCCCAAAAGCTTAAACTATTAGAAGATGAGCCAATAATAGTTTTATACTTTAACACAAAGGAAGAAATTTGATCTTAGTTTCGTGTGACAAGTTTATGGAGTTTTTTAGTGTAAAACAAAAAAAAATAATGCACTTATTTAAGGAGTTTTTTAGTGAAAAAAAAAAATCATGTTATTGAATAATGCACTTATATTTGTATAATTTTTTGTCCGATTATATTGTTCATGCAGGTTCTATTTATCTGGAAAATTTTGGGGATTCTAAGCTACAAGAAGCTGGAGAATGTTTTGTTCGAGCACGGTCTTATGAGCGTGCAGCTTTTGCATATGCCAAGGGCAACTTCTTCACTAAATGTTTGGAATCTTGCCTTCAGGGAAAACTATTTAACAAGGGACTTCATTACATTCCCTACTGGAAAGACCATGCAACCCAAAATAATTACATGACAAGAGACATGAATGAAATCGATGCCATAGAACAGAAGCTTCTGAAGGGTGCTGCAGTTGATTACAAAAAGCTTGGAGATAAATCTGCAATGATGAAATGTGTTAAAGCCTTCAACTCTAGGAATTCAATGCGCATTTTTTTGAAAACTGAAGGGTGCCTTGAGGAGCTTATCCAACTGGAAAGTGAATGGGGAAACTTTATGGATGCTGTGATGATAGCTAAGGGAATGGGAGAAACACTACTCGAGGCTGAGCTATTGGAAAAGGGCAAACATTATAAAGAAGCATCACTTGTTATTCTGTTATATGTGTTGGCAAATTCTTTATGGGTACTTGAGAGTAAAGGATGGCCCTTGAAGCAATTTACTGGAAAAAAGGAACTTTTAGATAAAGCTGAAACACTGGCAGATAATGTTTCAACCTACTTCTACAAGTTAGTGTGGATAGAGAAAACTGTTCTTTCAGATGAAAGGCTTCCATTGTCTGGGTTGCAACAATTGTTCAGTGATTCAGAGCAGTGCCAAAGTGTTGGAGGTGAAATATTATCTGCCTGGAAAATTCTTGATGTTCATTTTTCTGTCAGTAGTTCCAAATACGTATGGCGATTTCATGCAGAAAATGGCTTGTCTGAGAATCAAGTTTCTGTTAAAACACTAGTCTTCTTTTGGAACGTTTGGAAAACAAAGATAGAGAAGATATTTGACTATCTTGGACATCTTGAAAGTGATGATGTGTATGGGGAGTTTTGCTTGAACTACATGGGTGTGCGTGTGATTGACAATTTTGAAAATAACAAGACCATCTACCTTCTGCTTCAAGCTGATGCCCACTGGTTGAAACAAATTAGTTGCAAGAATTTGCATAGGAGAGGGAGGTTAGTTAGCTGTAACGCTAAGCAATTTGCTGATGCCGCTCGATGTTATTGGACTTCAGAAATGCTCTCTGTCGGAAGAAAGGTGTTAGTGAGTCTAAAAGCTCTCTATGAGTTCTCAAAGGATATTTCTTTACTCCTCCATTGCCAAGCTCTTCCTCTAGTTCACATGTACAGTGTTGCAAAATCTCTCATCGACTCCAAGCTTTTGCTCTACAAGGAACATGATTGGGTTTTTAGCTACCTTGAGCTATCCATGGATAACATCCTGGGGATCATATTTCCCCCGGATTGGAGAAAGCCATTGACAATGGAGATGATTATCCGGAGGGAGACAAAGGAGTTCAAGGATTTAGTCGAAGACATAATTTGTAGAATCAGTAGCTCAAACAGTCATCTGACATACCAAGAAATAGGAAAAGTGGTAATGGCAGTGTTGGGGAGCTCTCAAAAACTTTCTGGTGAAACATATAGGAAAGTTTCTCTGAGGTTTGGAAGCAATCCATTTTGGAGCTCATGTATTCAAAGTTTTGGGAAGAGGGGATACCGTTCCATGGATGTTTCTGCTGTCAAAAGTTTCCATAAAGCTTTGGAACTGACTTATTATGCTGATTGTGTGGGCCAGACTAACTATGTAGCACCAAATTGCTTCATCTACCTCATCGAACGCCTTCTGACCAACATTTTCTGCTTAAAAGGTTGCTTTTTCTCATCAAAATCTTGTCTTCTTGAATGGCTTATTAACCGGGAATGGAATAAGAATTCCACAGACAAATTTGTCGCTGATTGGCAAGAGCAGTTTAGTCATGTCCTCGATATTACCGCAGCCATTCTTGCTGAGCTTCTCTGCAATGAACAAGATGTCATTACATGGATGAAAAATTCAAAGCTCGGATTGCCGTATTATCCACTCCTAGTGTTGAGACTGTTTGTTGCTCTTTGTTTACTCTGTGCAAACTCTGGGAAGTACTACGATTTCCTTTTTGAATTACTGGGTAGGACAGAGATCACTGCAAAACTACCACCAGAATTCTACAATTTCATTCAGAAACTGAAACCAGGAAACTTGGAAGACAATGTTCGTGTTCTCGCCAAAGCTTTCAGGAGAATTGGGAATTCCCTTGTGGTAGTGAGTTCGGGAGAATGTCGCATCAAGTATGACATCCCAGATGCCATATTTGTAGACCTGAAAGTCCACCAAGGAAGAGAGAAGTTGATTGGCATATTGTTCAAGTAGTGTTGACGGATTCTTTCACTCCTAGTGGTAAGTTCCACAAACACTTTCTTATTTCCTGGTATATCTGATCAATAATTTCTTTTCCTAGTTGATGAACATGAACATGTTAATAGAAACGCTTTCAACTTTTTGAAGACGTGAAAAAGCTTTCTTTTTTTTTTTTTTTTTAACTTGAAATTGGTGGTGGTTCAAGTCTTTTTTCTTTGCCCTACTTGTATATAATTCTCTTTCTTCATATAATTCTTTGTTCTCAGGTATTGGGATGGATATATATATATATATATATATATATATATATATGAAAGGCTGGCCAACAGCAACTGAGAAGTTACCTCCAATTCCAAAGGCCCAAGGTTGGGGGATGTGGTTCTAAGGATTTTCATTTTCATTTTGTAAAGACTGAAATTTCACTGAGCAGGAATTGGGACAAAACATAGAATTCTTGTCAACATTTTGCAGTTATTATGGCAATTATCTTTGGAATCACAATTGCAACTCCTATACGTTTAGCCTTTCATTTTGAGAAATACCTCTATATGTTAAGCAATGAGCATGGCACTTTCATTGTGAAATTTGATACGAGAAAACACACAAAAGCAAAACATGCAAAATTCACAGACAGATCTCTGGGGGAGCCATGCATAGCTTAATCATTTATCCGATTAAATTAGATAATTGTTCACTCTTATTAATTGCTTAAAATCGATGCCACATATTTATCCTGGGAAACATGTCTTTGGCTTTTTTTTTTTTTTTTTTACAAGACTTGTCAAATGAATAAAGCAAAAGTAGATACATCATATAAGAAAAATGTTAGCATTACTTTCTCTGTCAATCACTTTCTTTGTCACTTTATTTCTCTATTTAAATAATAATATATCATATTAATAGAGTATATGTTGTCAAACAATAAATGCAAACAGTAATATAAAATGTAATAGTAGCATTTTTGGATTTTTGGTAGATTCAATTCTCAAATTAAAATATACTAATATAGGAGTGATAATATTTCTAATAAAATCTGCAATAGGGTTGAGTCACATGCACATAGGGAAAAACAATTATAACATTATCAAAGTGTATTCAAATTCAAATTACAAGGGGTACCCCGAATAAAAACACACTTTCTCAACATTTAAATTCAAATTATAAATTGCATATAATTTATTTCATTCTATTCATTTTTTTATCACCGTTGTTAGTTTATAATTGTGACGACCCTCCTAAGCGGCCGTCACCGTAGCTTACTTTTTACTTGTACTTACTGGGGTTTCTTAAAATTTACGGAACATTTTTTTTTTTTAATATATGAAGGAATAATTTCATAACTCGTAACAATCATTTCAAAAGAATGACTCACTAAATTTCTTAAAGCTTTTCTTAATTTCAGTTAAGATAAAACCTTATAGAAATATCTTTCAAACGGGGCAGCGTTTGAACTATTGTTTCAAATACTCTTTAAAAGTCTTTTTAAAACTAGCCAATTCAATCTGGCCATTTAATTTGACTTTAAATCAAATTTCGAGAGAAATCTTAAATTCAATTACATCTTAAAGTCCTTTTAAAATCAATCATTTAAATCGCCATGTTTAAAATTCGTTTATTTGTTACATGCACTGTTGCAACGTTCTAAAACTTAAATACTCAAAACTAGGGTTGTTAGCTAGAACTTCGGTTTTCTTAACATACATATGTACATATACCTTTTAAACATACATGCTTGAAACCTTTAAATCATATATACATATACATGATTTTACTTGAACTTACTGCAGAAGATTTTAAGTGTTAGCGGTATCCATTCCCATCTCCACCATTCGTCCGCCGCTCACCATTGCCCTTCAAGAATTACTGATAGGTTTCTTACCTACAACATGAACGTATCTGATTGAGCTTTCGCCCAGCAAGTAGGAACTATCTCTCGCAAAATAACTGTGAGTACACATGAATAAATATGCATAAGCTGATTATGCTTAATTAAGATGTTTTATCATAGTCTTATTATCTTATATTATCTTTCTTATCTTTTCTTTCTTTCTTTTGGGCCCGAGTGCTCGCATACCACTTGCGTGCAATCATCGGGACGTGAGGATTTACAAGGTCCCCCACGATACCGTGATTATAACTTGAATGCCTCCCTTGAGTCGGAGGACATTATTATTTTTTTTTCTCCCTTGTGGAGCTTGAGTTACCTCCCTTGTGAAGGCTGGTACGGAACTCAACTGAGATTATTCTTATAAGTTCCTTTTGACTTATTAAGGTGTATGCAGTATGACATGGCATCGAATACAATACTTAAGGCATAAACATGTATATATATAACATGTGTAATTTTTTTCTTTAAAATATCTTCATACTGTAGGCGAGATTCCTACTTACCTGATTTATAGAGCTGGAATCCACTTTTCGCCAAACAGTCTATTCTCTTACTTGCTTACTTCTGAAAATAAACACCCATTGCGAGTGTGAGATTATCTGTCGTTTGCTATTCTATTTTAGCAGCTTATGAAGGAAATCTAGTCCTTTACTTAAGGCACGTATTCCTTTCCTTTACTGAAGGATAATTTACTATAAGGATCAATTTATTAAATCCTCAAAATCTTATTTTCCTTAATTGTCATTACAAATTTGTGCTAAATTGATAATTCATTAATTATCTTATCCTTATAATAAGTCTAATAATTTAGTTAACTAATTTTAGTAATTAATTAACCCCCTTATTCATATACTAAGTCTACATAAGTTAGTTAATTAATCTTAGTAATTAAGTAACTTCCTTAACCATGTTCTAAGTCTTACATAATTTAATTAATTAGTTTAATAATTAATTAAATTATCATCCATAATACACTTTTAATAAATTTTACTTTACCTCACTTGACGGGCTCATAATAATGTTGAGGTCCGTATTTAACGTCGTAAAATTAAGGGTCTAGCGTATCATTTTTTTTTTACGATTTTCTCTTACCCGCTTATTTGAAAACCGTTAAGATTTATTAGAAAACTATATACGACGTTTAACATAAACATAAACATAATTCGTGAATCTCATAATTAACGTATTTCGTGAAAATCATACGCCTTATACGAGTATCTTAATTAAATTGTAAGCAAGGTTTGTACTTGCCTGGATTCCGAACTAAGCGGTTCTGATAGTATCTCGCTTGTCGTGTCCTCATGCGTATTCCTCAAAATTAATTCTGGGAAAAGCTGCAAGCACTATGAATGATCCTTGAGGAACATCGTAGCTTTAAACACTCGATTCTGATCTTCACCTATTTAGTCCGAACCACCTCGATCCGCGTGCAACCAGTACCAGACCATTCTTATCAGAATTTAATTTTGGTTGAACGGACGTCACCATTTCGTTCGGCACATCAAAACGAGTTGGGATATGGTCTCGGATCATCAAACGGATGTCGATAGCCTGAGAAACGACACCTCGCCGGAATACAGCAACGGAGGCCGCGGTATACGGCGGCGGAGGCTCCCGGAGAGTTTTTCTGCGGCGGACTTGGGTCCTACCCCCCTAACTTGACCCTTCTGAGTCCATTGGTGCAGTTAATTTCACACCATTCGACATGTAACAGTACCTATCGGGACCGGCAACGTTGGTAAAATCCGGCGACTCAAATCTCACAATTCCAGTCATCAATTCTTAAAATTGGTTGAGAGGTTTTCTTACCCGCTTACTTATGAGTGTTGTGACACCAAAGTCACTACGATCCAACGGTTAGATCATCGGAACCACCTCTTCCCTCCACGGACGACGGTAGTGGCTCCGTTTTTAGGCCAAACTGCGACGGTGACGGTGACTGCTGGTCGGGATCTACTGGGCGTCGGCTTCTGAGTCGATTGGTGGGGGCGGTGACATCCACGACGGCCTGGAGAGAGAGAAACGACGGCGGCGACAGCGGCGATTCTGACCACCACGGACGGCGGCGCTCCGGCCAGAATCGAGCTATGAAAAATGGATGGGTTTTCTTCGTCTCGCTGCACTGAGTCCATAGGGACTGAAATCATCTCAATCGGAGGTTGGATGGCGGAGATATCACGACGGGAAGAAATGGGTATTTTCAAAACTTCCGCCGGCGATTGCGGCTGATTCCGGCGGAGTTGGAGGTCGTGCCGCATGTCTTTGAACTCAGCTCGTCGATATCTTTCTATTGACACCGGCGGTGTCAAAAACAGAGGTCAGAATCTCAACTTGAGTATTTAGCCATTGATGGTTTTGTGAGAAAACATGAAAGGCGAGAGAGAGAGAGAAAACGTGAGCAAGAGAGAGAAAATTATAGAATCCTAAAAATTACACTACATAAAGTGTGATTATTATTATTTTTTTATTTATTTATTTTTTAAACTTGAAATTGGTGGTGGTTCAAGTCTTTTTTCTTTGCCCTATTTGTATATAATTCTCTTTCTTCATATAATTCTTTGTTCTCAGGTATTGTGATGGATATATATATATATATATATATGAAAGGCTTGCCAACAGCAACTGAGAAGTTACCTCCAATTCCGAAGGCCCAAGGTTGGGGGATGTGGTTCTAAGGATTTTAATTTTAATTTTGTAAAGACTGAAATTTCACTGAGCAGGAAGTGGGACAAATCATAGAATTCTTGTCAACACTCTGCAGTTATTATGGCAATTATCTTTGGAATCACAATTGCAACTCCTGTACGTTTAGCCTTTCATTTTGAGAAATACCTCTATATGTTAAGCAATGAGCATGGCACTTTCATTGTGAAATTTGATACGAGAAAACACACAAAAGCAAAACATGCAAAATTCACAGACAGATCTCTGGGGGAGCCATGCATAGCTTAATCATTTATCCGATTAAATTAGATAATTGTTCGCTCTTATTAATTGCTTAAAATCGATGCCACATATTTATCCTGGGAAACATGTCTTTGGCATTTTTTTTTTTTTACAAGACTTGGCAAATGAATAAAGCAAAAGTAGATACATCACATTAGAAAAATGTTAACATTACTTTCTCTGTCAATCACTCTATTTCTCTGTTTAAATAATAATATATCATATTAGTGGGGTTTATGTTGTCAAACAATGAATACAAACAATAACAGAAAGAGTAATAGTAATATTTTTAGATTTTTGGTAGATACAATTCTCAAATTAAAATATACTAATATAGGAGTGATAATATTTCTAATAAAATCTATAATAGGGTTGAGTCACATGCACATATCAAAGTGTATTCAAATTCAAATTACAAGGGATACCCCAAATAAAAACATACTTTCTCAACATATAAATTGAGGTTAATAGCAAGGGCAGAAATGGGGAATATCTTTTTTTTTTTAAATAAAGCTATTTTTACCATGAACTTTTAGGTTGTTTTAGTAACGGACCCTCACTCTACGAACTGAAGGAAAATGGTGTTCTTTCTCAACTATAAACAATTTATCATGAATAATCCTCTTTCTTACTGTCTTGGGGTATTTATTGGTAGTGTGTTTATCGCTCTTATATTTTCTTTGTTGGGAATCATGTGACAAATGTGACTTTATTACCGGTGGATAGAAGAGAGGCGTAATTCTTTGCATCTCAGGATCAGATTGAAAATTGTACGGCCGTTTTCTGTGATCCATTTTTCTGAAGGTAATTGAAATCCTGCACAACGCATTTAAGCACTTATTTAGTCTACATAGGAGGTTTAGCACATAATAATCCTAAGATAATTTCCAATGCAAATACGAATGCTATATTTAACAAACATAATTGTAAGAATTACATATTGTATGTTGTTTAATTTTGTGATCCAATCATAATTGTATTTTAAAATGCTATACTTACATTGAGCACTTTTATCTCCCTAACTTTTCAGGTTTTGACAACTTTTCCCCTAGTAAACGTTTAATTTTGAGTCTATACCCCCACAACTTGCTAAATCGTTGCAATGTGCTCCATTTTTTAACTTTTTTGGGTCCGATGTGGAGATTGATTTGGAGATTTCAGTGATTTGTGTTGGATTTCAATTGAGATTTAAGGATTTAATGTTGTAGGCGAGGCATTCGTTGGCTTTTTTAGTTCGCTAACTTACGGCATTAGTAATATAGGGTATATTGCATCGATTTTGCAAGTTACGGGGGTTAAAGTACCAAAATTAAAAATTCTGAGACAAGTTGTCAAAACCTAAAAAGTTCAGGGTGGAGAAGTGCTAAAAGTTCTAAGCTTTGGCACCCGTAAAAGGAAAATTTTTAATCTTTTAAATAATTGGAAATTGACAATGTCCTGATCATTAAGTGAAGATAATTGAAATTCCGCTCAAAGAAGTGCTTATACAAAGTTAGTCAACTTATAGGAGGCTTCACTATCAAATTGTAATCCTATTTATATCTACAATTCAATTTAGAAACAACATGCTGAACAATACATAGAAGGAAAATGATTAAGAGCTAAGGCAAAAAAATGCACACCTTTTTTCCGAGACAGCAGAGATGCAATGCTTGGCGATGTCAGCTCCATTACCATTAAAAATTAGTACCGAACTGCAAAGACGAGAATAAGGCGCCGCGGTAAGTTGTTACCAAATGCATATGTTTCTAGGACATGCTGACCAAAAAACTAAAATGGAAGGCGTAAACATATGAATTGCTCTTAAAACTTACTTAAACTAGATTTAATTTTGTCAAACATAAGCTCAAAATATCCCCTTCTAAAAATACCTCTAAACCACACGTGAGGCAAGAAGTTTCAGGTTGAAAAGAGATGAAAACATAGGAAGCATACCCGGTTGGCAAATGGACTGGTTTAGGCCCTTCAAACTCCCCTGCACCCACAACTTTTAGATTTGAACCGAAAAGTATATTGCAATCGGATAGTAATGATACAGTGCAGAAAGGTCTGAGAAAGTCATGGTGGTCGATATGAGGAGGAATGCAATCTCCTTCCTCGTATATATTCACAATGCAGCTATCGGGGACACATTTCGGAGGCAAGACATGCCACCTGACCATCCTCTTTATCATTTGTTTGAACAATGGAGGTAAGGGTTCAACCTCGGCATCTCTTATGATACCCGGGGGGTTTCCATGTTTGTCCTGCAATGTTTAGTTGAAAAGAAAGTAAACTACAGAAGAAAACCAGAAAACCAAGATGTTACATGTTTCAAGTCATTCAAAAATAATAAGAATAAAAAGAAGATAGGTAGAAAAACTGAATAAAAAGTTGAGAAAATGCTAGTATCACTTTTTCTGTTACTTTCTTTGTCACTCTATACATTCACTGTTTGACACGCGGACTCTACTATCTCATTTTCTGTTGAAATAATAATATACAATGTTAGTAGAGTCCGTGTGTCAAACAGTGAATGCACAGAGTGACAAAAAGAGTGACAGAAAGAGTGATGATAGCATTTCTCTAAAAAGTTACCACTGCATAATTGTAGCAGCAACCAAATTGTATTGTGACACGGCCCTTGCCTCGCATCCACTTTTTAGGTTCCGAATACGTTCTCCCTGAAAATTGTTATAATTGAAAAGGCAAATGAGCTGAATATGAATTTTCATTTCTCAAATTACCACTCTAATAATGAGTTTCCATAGTTCAAATTAGTATATTTTAGAAACAAGCAAATACATCACCACGTAATAAAGAAGGAAAGCTCTTCCTCTACTGAAATCTCTCTCAAAAGTAATAGATTAGAAATTGTAAAAATGAAAAGATGTGTAAGATTGAGTATCAATCGGAGGAAAATTGCAAGTCACAAATTCAAAACCTAACTCATAGAGAGACAAAGAGAACAAGTACTAAACTAAACCGACTATTTGTTTTCATATACCTCTAAGTTGGTTCTTCCTTCCCTTATCCTGCAACTTGTACACAAATTCAACTATCTTTTTTTGCTCTTCAACATCGAAGACCCGAGTGTAAAGCCCCAGCCCTTCCAGAACATTTGTAAGTCGTCCATCTACTCTCTCAAAGCAGCAAAAGCTATCCTTCCAGCCCATTCTAGAAACTCGAGCGTTCTCTTCCTCCTCCGAAAGCCCGTCATCAATCAAAGAGGAATCTTCTCCGACTCCATCGTCAAGAAGTAACTCTGAACTTGAATGCTGAAGTGAACAGCTTTTATTGTTTGGTGATGCAGGCCTAGGAGAACCGGGATACTCTCTTTTCCTTGCCATGATAATAAGTTCAGGTGTTCCAATAGAATCTTGAGGACTGATGTTTTGCTGGTTAGTCCTCTCACTATTCTGCGAGAACCATGATGCATCAGCATTTCCTTTGGCACTATCACCGCCACCTTTTTCTTGCATTAATAATAAAAAAAGTGATAAATACAATAGGATAATAGTTTACTTGTCAAATATTATGTCACAGAGTAGAAAAAATTAGCCAAGTGGAACCACAAGAAAATGGAGGGAAAAAGATTAGAGGTTGATATTTCACCTTGAACAATCTGTGGATGCTAATGGAAAAAATTGGAAGAAAAATAGAAAAAAAAGAGATACAAAAATAAAAGAAGAAAATGGTCCACTATAAAATAAGAACAAAAACAGTTGATTTTTACACTGAACAAGATATGTTCATGATTTTCCAAAAAGCAAAAAGCAGGCCAAGCCAGCAAGATGGCAAATTCTAAACAAGAACATGGGCACTATTCTTAAGAAAGCATATATAACAGAGCAAAACGAAGAGACCATTCACCTTTTAAGTTAAAATACTTATCCTTAAACACATACAAGGTATTGCCATTATTCTCATAGAATAATACAACAGAGCAAAACAAAAAGACTATTCATGGCCAGAGCAATAGTCTGTGTAAGGAACTCGAAAAATCCACAAAGAAAAGACTAATCAATGAAGTATATTTCTGATTCAAGAACCATAATTTACAATGAGCAAAGCCAAAAAGAAGAACATCTATAAAGAAGCAACTTTTTTGAATCTAAATTTTAGCTTTTACCATGTAGAGGTTTAGGAACTCTGTTCACTGCTAGTACAGAATGTAAGATCTAGAAAGCTGCCTCGTAGAAAAGTGCGGGGAGAGGCAACCAGGCCTAGCTACTCTCCGGGTGAGACCAAAGGGGACCACACACGCTGAAAAATGTACAGTGAGTTAGAACTACTTAAGTTGGGAGACGAAGCGTGTCACCTTAGTCCCACTAAAAGTTTATGAACATTGACTCGGTAATCTGGAAATAGTCTCAAGCACCACCCACGGCCACGGGAATCAAGCTTAAGACACTGCACCAACCAAACCACCTTAGTGGTGTAAGATCTAGAAAGGTTCACCACAGAAACATACCATGATTAATGGCTTCTGTAGTATCGTTGAACAATTGGGTTATTACAAAAGTTGGCAAATGCAGGGTCATTATATTTATCAATTGGGCTTACAAAAAATGACTCCTATAAAATTCACTTTGATTCCCAGCTTTCAGTTTTGAACATTATACTACCTTGGCATTATTAAAATTGACAAAAATAATCATGTCGTTAGGAATCCGTCAATTTGTTGATGCAAAATTGCACATTAATGCATGTGTTTGTTTTCACTTTTTACCGAAATACCCCTTGAAAATAGACGTGTGCACGAACATCCACCAATTAACGGACTCTTGGCGGAAAGACCAATTAGTTTTATATCATAAGAACAACTCCAACCATGCTAGTCATTTCATGTTTTTTGCCAAAATGGCTAATGATTTAGCCTTTTTTTTTTTTTTAACTTTCCTTCACTCCAACCCTTATTTAAATGGTTAGCTATTTTAGAGAATGTCTTTAACACTAACTAAATATAGTTAGCATAGAGAGGCTAGTCATTTAATTTTTGTATTATTTTATTCTTTCAACAGTAATAAATGCAAAAGTTTTTTTTAAAAATTTAATAAAGTTATTTATATTTTAAATTCAATAAATATTAAAATAATTTATATTTAGCTAAAATAGTGAGTATGGTTGTAGTGAATCATAAAAAAAATTGTTAGCTAAAATAGCTTTCTAGCCATTTTAGCTAAAACTTAACTAAAATTCTGGTGCCATAGGAAGACAGAGTTCTTGTAAATAACCCTTCTCAAAACTTTTAAATCGGACATTACTTGTTAACAAAGCAATTCTTCCAAAAGGGAAACAGCATCATGTTTGCATGGAAGAAGCCTTCTCAAAAAGGACACAAAAAATAAGGAATCTAGAGAAGCAGAGAATAAAAGCAATAGTACCAACGGAGGAAACCTCCATAATCAAAAGCCGCGTTGTTCACGTTTTTTTTTTTCTCTCATTGGGATTTCAAAGTGAATGTGCCTTTTTTAAGTAAGTTTTAGCAAATTAACAAAATTTGTTAAATTAGGAAAATGGCCATTTTAAGAAATGACTAATATTTGTGGTTTATCACTGATTATTGATTAACCTCATGGTTTATTCAGTAAATAATTTGGTAGTTTATCAATGATCACGGATTAACCAGAATCAATTAGTGATTGACCAATTTCAATCAATAATTTTTCATTTTATCACGGGTTATCCATGGTGAAAAAAGACCATTTACCTTAAAAGAGTTCGACCATTTACCAAAAAGAAAACGTTCGGCCGTTAATTGAAAACGGTGTCTTTCCTGTGTGATCCCCCGAATTTTCCCTTCATCTTTTTTTATTTTTTTGTAACGGCCAGGAAAAAAAAATCCCATCAAAATCAATATGAGAGAAAAAATAATGAAAAATTTCAACTTCATTTTCATACAACAACATTAGATATTACCAAGTAGAAGAAAATTTTGAACGTTTTCCGTTTTTGTGTAAGGAACCTGACCATAATTGATATCTACGTACCCAACCAAACGGCGTATGTGAATTTTATGTTGCAAGAAAAGTGATTGTCCTTTCTCATTGGATTAATCAAGCCAATAAGCTAAATAAAAAAAAATAAAAAAATAACAATAACAATAATAAGCTAATAAGCACCAAACTCTATTATGTGAGTGTCAACCTCTAATTCTAACATAAATAGCAAGCAAATACACATGACAATATTCAAAAATAAAAAGCAAAAGAACAAATTTAAAAAAAAAAAAAAAACCCAACTTTCACAATTTCAAAAAGGAAATTGAAGGTAAATTAATAATAACGTTTAAAACAAAAAAAGAGCTTGAATTGCAATAATTAATACCAGTGAGGAAAAGGTTACGAGCACGATCCTCCAAATGGGCTTGGCAGTGGTCGCAGAATCCTTGGGAGAGAAGCTTCAAAAGTTGGTGATGCTCCAGATTCCTCAGTAAGCTCATGCACCCAATAGCGTTCTTCTTGTAATGATTCTCTTTAGCCATCAAAACAAGAGAGAGAAACAAAGAACTAGAGAGAGAGAGAGAATTTAGGAAACACAGATGGATGCAGAAGAAGACTTTGCTTAAGTAGAAGTAGCAACAACGTTGACGGGGAGAGAGAGAGAGAGAGAGAGAGAGAGAGAGAGAGAGAGAGAGAGAGAGAGAGAGAGAGAGGGAGAGGGAGAGAGAGAGAGAGAGAGAGAGAGAGGGAGAGAGAGAGAGAGAGAGGGAGAGAGGGAGAGGGAGAGAGAGAGAGAGAGAGAGAATTTAGGAAACACAGATGAATGCAGAAGAAGACTTTGCTTAAGTAGAAGTAGCAACAACGTTGACGTTAACTTGGTTCTGTATGCTTGACTTCGTGTTGGAGACAACGAACATTGAGAAGTCAAGAACCCCCGGTGCTCTTTACTCTTTTGTTATTTTTCCCACATGGGTCACTATTTTTACATAAATCGCAAATTTGCCCCTGGGTGTAGATCTATCTCATATAAGTGTCTTAACTTTCCTTCTGTCTCGTGTCATGTTTCTATAAGAAAAAACGTTATATTGCCATTAAATATTCGGTAATTGACATAGTTTGCTCTCACATTTTTGGGATAATTTTAATATAGTATTATGCGTTATGAAATTGTCTTTTAATACTCCATGTTTTTTATAATTTAAAAAATATAAGATACTAAAAGTTAAGTTTAAATTTTTATAAGATAAAATATAGTAATAGAAAATTTTAAGTTACGAAAAAAACAATAAAAAGAGTTTGAAAAGATGAGACAAAGAAGTGTTTTTTTTTTGTTGATAGACAAATATTTAACAAAGAAAAAATATATATATATATAATTGCGTCTTAAATCTATTTTACTATAGGTGTGGAAAAAGTGGATTAAAGGGTGCCATTGTGCCATTTAATATAATCGAATTAAAATGATGCAATGTTAATAATTCATATACCAACAACAATAGTTTTCCTTGTTTTGTTCATTCATAACTACATCTATTTCCTACTTTCTCCCCTGTTTTTAAGATTTTTTTTTTAAACCCCAAATCTTTACACCACCACGACACACTCCTTCTCTCTCCACACAGTGCTTACTGCTCATCCAAAACAAAACAAAAAAACAAAAAAACAAAAACAAAAAAAACAAAAACAAAAAGAAAAAAAAAAAAAAAAGAGCCCAACCTTATTCCCTTTTTGCCGCTACTTTCGAGTTTCGTCGCCGGGGATTCGGAGGGGGTTGAGGGCGAACATTGAGGGAGAGTTGCTCTGATTCGCTTTGTAAATGGAAGTGTCCGTGCTTGGCCATGGCTTCCAATCTCTTCTTCCTCGCCGCTTCCCCTTTCCTCCTCCCTCTTCTCCTTCTTCTTCTTCTTCTTCGACCAGAGGACTAATCATTTCTCGACTTTTCTGCTATGCGACCTCCACTTTTGTTAATGGAGAAGTCGCAGCTACTCAGACTCAGAAGCGCCATTCCAAGTCCTACTTGGCCAGACAGTCTGCCATTCGTGAAGTTCAACAATCCTCTGATTGCAGATCAGCTCTTTCCAGGTCTCGTCTTTTTGCTTCTTCTTCTTCTTCCTTTTTTTTTTTTGGTTATTGTTTTTGTCATTTTATTGACCCCGTTACTTCATCGTAGCTGTTTGTCGAATTTTCTCACTGACCTATGAATTTAGGGTGAATTTTAATACTGGATTTTTTTTTTTTTTGTGATTTGTTGCAAAGATTGGAACTTTACCCCTCATTTATATTTCAAATGATTCCCCAACTGAGGTTTGCAATCAAATACTTGAAATTTCAGAGGGCTTATTCATTGTCCATTTCTCATCGGAAATCACTTATGTTGGGTTATCTTTAATTTATATCTCAAATGAAACCCCCAACTGAGGTTTGTAATCAAATATTTGAAATTTATGAGAGTTATTTGTTGTCCATTTCTCATTGGAAGTCACTTGTGTTGGGATTATCTTTAATCTTGAGCTGTGAACTTCAGTTGTAGGCTTACTAGGGAGCATGAACCTTTTTTCCCCCTATTTTATGATTTTATGGACCATGAATTAATATCAAATGGAGAGGTGGGAATTTGAGCTTTGTTGTTAATCAAATGAGCAGAAAATTCTCCGATGTACGAAGTTCAGATGGCTCTCTTAGACATTGGTAACAGGTCGTTTGGTATGAAATGTTCAGTGATTTAGTTTAGCTAATTACTATGTAGAATAATTACTGTGGAAATTCTTCTTCCTGCATCAGCAATAATATCCTTCCCTTGATTTTTAATGAAGCAACTATGAATTCCTTCCGTAGACTCATTAAACATTGAGTCTCAGCCTATTATGATAATCTTGTGCATACCTGCAACTTATATATAGTTGATTGATCCGGTCCTGTTATGACCATTTTAGAGGAGAAAACATTAACTTAATTAGGGAGTTGAAACTCAAATTGTACATTTTATGCAGATTAGAAGGTGTTTTAAAGGTGCAAGACTTAAATGCGATATTACGCCATTTTGGGACACGAAAGAGATGGCATGACCTTTCCCAGGTGATACGTCTGATTGACACATCTGTTTTACATGTAAAAGTTGGATATGTATTACAACTTGAACTGGGTGTAGATTTGTTTTCAGAGTATTGTCCATTTCTCCCCCATTTATTAACTCAAGTCCTGCATGTTTCTCTATGTTTTTGCACTTTGCATTTTTGTGTCTATGTCCACAGATATAGTTATGAATGTCCATACTAAGGCATAATATAAAAAAAGATGGCCTAATACTGCTTGTTCTAGTGGCACTAGGGGGTTTGGGGGAGGTTGCAGGCTCAATCCTTTGTTGTATAATACACACACACACACACACACATATTTATGTAAAAAAAAAAAAAAAAAAAAAAAAAAAAAAAAGAGGAAGAAGAATAGCCCAGGTGCAACTGGTTGAAAATAAATTAAGTATATATATTGGTGTGAATTAAAGAATAAATATAAGACTTAAGATAAAACCACAAACACAAATTTTTTTATAAAAAAAAAAAAAAAAAAAAAAAAAAGATGAGATGGCCCAATTCTTATGTATAAATGTTTTAAGTCGCTCTTATCATAGAATGTGGAATCTCGATTCCCAAAGATTATCAGAAAATGGTTTTCTCTTTTATATAGAGTTTTCTTTAGTTACTGACGTGTGCATACTCATATACATATGCCCCACGTACATAGTACATACACGCATGCAACTGGGTGTGTCTCTTGCACACAGCTATATGTGCATATGAGCATGTGATTTTTTTTTTTTTTTTTTGTTGCGTTGCTCCCATCTTCGTTTGCGTTTTAGAGTGAGTGTTTTTCTTACTTATGTTATTGTTGATATTTGTCTTATTTTGTACATTATTGCAGATTTTTGATTGGATGCAACAGAATGGAAAGATTAGCGCATCCTCTTATAGCAGCTATATAAAATTCTTGGGAGAGAGCCTCAATCCTATGGAGGCACTTGAAATATACAGTAGCATCCAAGATGAATCAATCAAAAGCAATGTCTTCGTGTGCAATTCTGTTCTTGGTAGTTTGATCAGGAATGGAAAATTTGATGGCGGCTTTAAATTGTTTCATCAGATGAAGCAGGATGGTTTAACGCCGGATATCATTACATATAGTACGGTATGTTTCTCAGTCATTATCTAGTATTTGATTCCTTACATTCGTGCATGGATGTTTGCATACTATGCAATTGCTTCCGGTGTCAATAAGTATAGCGTGCTGAAGCTAAAATTTTGGCCTTGTAGTGCACTCAATACTAGTCGGAGTCACTCACATTCCTTCATCCTTTTGTTTTTGTCAAGCAAATAAAAATAAATACATAGAATAAGCAAAGAGTTTGATTAATTCTTTTGAATAGACAATCTACCCAGTACCTATACGTCAGAGATAATTTAGAAATCTTGTTACTTGCTCAACTCTTACATCTCCAAGATGGAAATTTTCTTTCTAGTACGTAAATGTTTTCAGAAAGAAGTGCTTCAGCTAAATCTGGTTACATGCTTAAGTCTTTAAAAAAATAAAATAAAATAAAAAGAGAGAAACGAGAGAAAAAAATATTATTATGAGATGAAAAAAGGACTACAGCAGGTAAGGAGCGTAAAGGTTCCTGGCAAAGTTAAAAAAAAAAAAACCACAAGTGTTGCATCATCCTTATGCAAAAAAGTGCTACAAAACTATTTCAGTGGGGATCGTACTAAAAAGGAAACTTGATCGGCATCTGCTCATACTTCATGGAACCGATCAATCCAAAATTATAACAAAATCATGCAGTTTAAGGTGAGGATCATACTAAAGAACAGATTTGCTTGGTTCATAAAATGGATCGATTGAAACCTCTATCAGATTTATGCTGTTTGAGGAGATTTTATCATTTTCCTGCATCCTTTGGGATTTTAATAATACGCTGCTGAACTCTGATTGTTAATTTCCAGAAATGCTATCAATTCGTTTGTCATTCGTGCAGTTTTCTTTTAGCCAAATGTACAATATTTCAGTTTTTGTAGCAGAAAAGATTTTTCAATACTAATTCTCCTTTTCATGAACGAGACATTCTAATTTCTATAACTACTCTTTGATTTCTTTAGCTGCTTGCAGGTTGCATAAAAGCCAAGCAAAGTTACCCTACATCTGTAGAACTTGTCCAGGAATTGCGGCATAATGGGCTGCAAATGGACAGTGTAATTTATGGGACAATTCTGGCTATATGTGCTTCCAATAATAAATGGGAGGAAGCAGAAAGGTATTTTAACCAAATGAAGGATGAAGGACATCCACCGAATGAGTTCCACTATAGCTCTTTGCTCAATGCCTACTCTATATGCGGAAACTATAAGAAGGCTGAGATTTTGGTTCAAGATATGAAATCTGCAGGGTTAGTACCAAACAAGGTTTGTTTCATGCTTGCTCACAATAAAACGATGGCGCTCTTATAAGGTTTTATTCTTCGTATTCATATTTTTTTTGTTTTTTGTTTTGTTTTGTTTTTTTGTTTTTTTTTTTTTTTGGGTCTTTGCTTGGTTTTGGTGCTTGTCTTCTGCACCTTGCACTAAGTGCTTGTCTTCTTTATATGCATGCTCAAGCATTTGAAGAAGCCCAAAGAAAAATAGAGAAAAAGTTTACATTGAAAGTGTAGTTGGCTGTCCAAGAAAGAAAGGCGGATAAGCTACAACCAAAATATTTCCTCACGTTATCTTCTATTCCCATACATCATCTCTTCTTTTTATTTTTGGTACATCCTAGAATGCATTTTCTTGCCTTACCCTTAGCTAGTGCCTTGATGAGGGTTGTTGGCATTCTTGAATTTTATATCCTTGGTCTAATACTGATTGATATGTATTTTCATTCCTCTTAGCTAAGGGCACGAGGAGGAAATGACAATCTGATTGAAATTTTGGCAAAGAAAGTTTTGACGCTGGTTTCCGTTTAACTTGGTTTTATGCAGTCTTGTTATCTTTCTTATTTCTTGGTGCTATGACAAATTGTATGTTATCACGTTTCCATACTTCTTTCCCAGATTCATCATTGTGTATTTTTTTTTAAGGCCATCTCTTCAATTTCTGTTTTTTAATGCTTGCAGGTGATTTTAACGACTCTACTGAAAGCATATGTCAGAGGAGGCTTGTTTGAAAAGTCTAAAGAACTATTAGCTGAACTGGAAGCTTTGGGCTATGCTGAAGATGAGGTGTTGTCTCACTGTCAATTTTGTCTAGTTTGTTACATTAAGATTTTCTCTTAGAGACCGCTTGTTAAACTTAAAAATTATTGGATTCTTGTCAAATTATCTCTTCAGCGTAAAAATAAAGATCTCAACACAGTGGCCTGACATTCTTATGCATTTAATTGGGAAAGACTAGTAGTAAAGGGATGTTTATTTAGTTAGTCATCAATCCTTTATTTCTTATTTTTAAAAACATGCCCTTGGGTTTCTCAAAGAAATCAAATGTCAGCAGAACATAAGTCTTCACTATACTCATCAATATACTTTTCTATAAGGTTTTCCATTTTTTAATACAAATTTTGTTCACGTAGGAAATATAAAATTTTATCTTCAGACATTTGCGGTGCAATTATTTTACATTTTACTACTGTCCTTTTTGTTTTAGAAGAATAAATTTTCTTTTTAACTTACTCCGGGTGTAGCTTGATGTGAGTTCAGTTCACTTTTGAGTAGCTCAACTTGTGCTTAGTTTTCTATCTTGTGAAAAGCTCTATCAGTTGTGTTTTTTTAGATTATAATGTGACTCTGCTTTCAGATGCCGTATTGTTTATTGATGGATGCACTTGCTAAGGATGGACAGATCAATGAAGCTAAATTAGTGTTTGATGAATTGCAGAAAAAATGTGTTAGATCAGGTATATTTTATTGTACTTTTTCCTTTCTTATTATTACAATAGTACAAGTGGAGCACACCTCTTTATGCTGAAATAATGAATTATACACTATGCCAGATGGCTATGCATACAGTATCATGATTTCTGCCTTCTGCCGAGGTCGGCGTTTTGAAGAGGCGAAGCAGTTGGCAAAGGATTTTGAAGCAACATATGACAGATATGACTTAGTGATGCTGAACACTATGATCTGTGCTTATTGCAGAGCAGGTGAAATGGAGAGTGTAATGGAAATGCTGAAGAAAATGGATGAATTAGCAATAAGTCCTGATTATAAGACCTTTCATATCCTAATAAAATATTTCTGTAAGGAGAAGTTGTATTTGCTTGCTCATCGGACCATGGTGGACATGCACAATAAAGGCCATCAACTAGAGGAGGTATGTTCTTTTTTGATCATTTCCAGTTGAGTAATCTGAATACAGTACTGTAGAATATTTTGGAAGAGAAAATGCTTCCTTTCTCATTTACTGGTTGAAGAATATATACAGAAAAGAGAGGTCTGTTGAGATCCTCTAAAACCAGAAAAATCTGCCTAACTAAGGTAACTATATCAAATATTCTCCTAACAATCAGCCCTAAATTACTTTAATATACACGGTTTCTATTTAAAATACAGCTAACTTCTAGAATTTGAGATAAAGGAACTTGGGAAATTGAAGTATTTTCTTAGGATTGAGATGGCATATTCTAGACAAGGCATCTTTGTATCCCAACAGAAGTATGTGACTGATCTTTTAATAGAAACTGAAAAGGCTGATTGTAAACCGGCTGCCACTCCTATGGACTCAAACCAGAAATTAAGTGAAGCAAGAGAGGAACCACCAGTGGACAAGGGAATGTATCAAAGACTAGTTGGGAGACTTATATATCTCACACACACTCGGCTTGATATAGCCTACTCAGTGAGTGTCATCAGCCAATTTATGCATGATCCAAGAGAGCCTCACCTTCAAGCTGCACATAGAATATTGCACTACTTGAAGGGCAATCTCGGAAAAGGGATTTTGTTTAAAAAGAACTCTACTTTGACGTTAGAAGCATATACAGATGCAGATTATGCAGGTTCTATAGTGGATAGAAGATCAACAACTGGCTATTGTACATTTCTTGGTGGTAATCTGATAACATGGAGGAGCAAAAAGCAGAATGTTGTGGCTAGATCATCTGCAGAAGCTGAATTTCGGGGTGTTGCTCAAGGGATGTGTGAACTACTTTGGCTGAAAATTATTCTAGATGATTTGAGAGTCAAGTGGGAGGAACCTATGAAGCTTTACTGCGACAAGAAGTCAGCAATCAACATCACTCACAATCCTATTCAACATGATAGGACAAAACATATTGAGATTGATAGACACTTCATCAGGAGAAGTTGGAAGAATGACTCATATGTATGTCTTATGTTCCTTCGGGAGGTCAACTGGCTGATGTTTTAACAAAAGGATTAAGTGGTTCTAATTTTCATGAGATTGTAACCAAGTTGGGAATGGAAGATATTCATTCCTCAGCTTGAGGGGGAGTGTCGAGAGGTATTTTAGGCTGGAAATCAATTAGGAAAATTAGTTTTAACAATTCCTAATTTTCCGGGATTGTGGTAGATATTCTTTCCTATTTTCTCTCTATGTAAATTCTATAAATACTTAGCTATGTAATTATTCAATATACGGAAATACAAAGATAATTTTCCAATCCCTAGTTTTCGTCAATTAGGGCAGTGAGTTTTCCATCCGTAGCATGTTGACGAATAATGTATGATCGGCTTGACACTAAACATAGCCATCCTTCTTGAGTACTCTAGTAAATCTGTCAAACCATGCCCGAGGAGATTATTTGAGGCCATACAAAGACTTTCTGAGTTTACAGACTCTGTTGGCAGTTGAATTGTCTTCAAAACCCGGAGGTATTACCATGTAAACTTCTTCCTCGAGGTCTCCATTTAGGAAGGCATTTTTACATCAAGTTGGAACAGAGGCCTGTCTTGGTTTACTGCAATAGAAATGAGAACTCTGATGGTGTTTAGCTTGGCTACTAGAGCAAATGTTTCTTGGTAGTCTATTCCATATGACTGAGTAAACCCCTTAACCACGAGGCGAGCCTTGAACCTTTCCACACTGCCATTTGCCTTGTGTTTCACTGAGAATATCCATTTACATCCAACAGCATGCTTACCCGGAGGTAGAGTAGTAATCGTCCATGTTCCATTCTTCTCAAGTGCTCTTATTTCATCCAGAGTGGCTGCATATTTGTAAAGCTTCATGGATGGAAGTGGGTACCTGGACTTGGTCTAGCTTGGACACAAAAGCTCTGTAGGTTGGAGACAACTTCGCATATGACAAATGATTGCGAAGAGGGTGCCGTGTACATGGTCGAATTCCTTTCCGTACTGCAATTGGGATATCCAGGTCTAAACTAGGGTCTGCAATCTGCTCAGACACAGGAACAGGAGTAGTTTCAGCCTTACCTTGCGTATTTTCACTAGAGGTTGGAGCCGAGGAAGAGTCCTGGTTATGCTGAGTTTGTGCAGGTTGCAGCTGAGGTTGTTCTTGGCGACGTTTTCGCCTTGAGTAGACACTAATGTCCTTGCCTGTTGCAGTTTGATTTGGACCAGGTCTGGGTTCATTTGGTACAGGTCTAGATTCTGGAATCTCTTGACCAGATTGGGTTTCAGGGTTGACATGACCAGATTCGGTTGACTCAGTGAGGAGAGGCTCGGTTGACTCATTGAAGAGGGGTGTTGTTTCTACTGGTGGAGCCAGGGGTGTTGTTTCTGCTGGTGGAGGCGAGGCACTCAGAATTGGAATTCTGGAACTCTCTGAATCATTTTCGAGAAGAGAATCCCAATCCCAATTCTGAGATTCGATCATCCTTTTCTCCCCCTGAATAGAGGAATTGGTGTAAAATGGTTGATGCTCGAAGAATGTGACATCCATGGAATGGAAGAACCTGTTTGTGAGTGGATAGTAGCATTTATACCCCTTCTTGTTTGGTGAGTAACCAAGAAAAATGCATTTGGTGGCCCTAGGATCTAGTTTCCCCCTGTTTTGTGAGTGAATATGAACAAAGGCAGAGCAGTCGAAGACCTTGAGGGGAATCTCAGAAAAGGCCTCTCAAAGGCTAGGGAGAGGTTTGGTGGCAAGGATTTGACCCCGAACTTCACCGAGGGATTTGTTAAGTCCCATGAGGAATTTGAAAACCCTTTTTGTCTCCACGATTTCCCTGAATTTGGCACCATCATCAGGACATTTCTAGTCATGGGTTTCAAACAAGTCAAGTTGTTGCCAGTTTCGAGTTAGGTTGGTGAAGTATGTGGTGACAGTTGTATCCCCTTGATTAGGTCTTGAAGTGCAGTTTCCACTTGAAATAATTCAGAGGTGTTCTCACTGCTGGAATATGTCTCTCGAGCGGCCTCTCAGATATCTCGAGCCGTGGAATAAAGAAGGAAATTTCCACCAATCTCTGTGGTCATAGAACTTATCAGCCAGGACATAACCATGTTGTTTTCAGAGCGCCAGAGTTTGTAGCGGCTATCGGACTTGTCAGGTGGGGCTGTTGCTCCGGTGAGATAATCATCACGACCCTTGCCACTGATGAACATCATTATGGATTGAGACCATTGCAAATAATTGTGACCATTCAGTTTATGATTGGTAACAGGAATCATATTGCTCTCAGGTATAGCCGAATTGATTGCAGGAGATGAACCAGATGGAGAAGTGATACTGGTTGAAGAAGACTGTTATGTTTCAGCCATGATTGAGACTAAAAAAGAGAGCAGGAGAAAGAAGTAACGGTGTGAGGATTCAAATAGAGACAATCGATAGGGAACTGAACAAAGAAGGAACGGCGGCAGAATTAGGGCACAGAGGGTGGCTCTGATACCATGTAGAATATTTTGGAAGAGAAAATGCTTCCTTTCTCATTTACTGGTTGAAGAATATATACAGAAAAGAGAGGTATGTTGAGATCCTCTAAAACCGGAAAAATCTGCCTAACTAAGGTAACTATATCAGAGAAATATTCTCCTAACAATCAGCCCTAAATTACTTTTAACGGTTTCTATTTAAAATACAGCTAACTTCTAGAAGATTTTCTACAAGTACTTTTGTTTTTCTCCCAATACAAGAATAAAAAGAAACAAAAAACATGGAACAAGAAGAATGGATGTCTCTGTTTGCTTAACTATTGAAACGTGACATTAATTAGGAAGGGAGAAGCTCGTGGAAGCAAGTGATGTAGGAGCAGTCAGAATAATGGAAATAATAGCAAATGAGAGGGAAGAACATACTCAGAAAAATCGTGTTTTTGAAGGAAATGAAGTAAATAAGTTACAATACATGCTCACAAAGAAAAGTTCTTAGTATTTTCCTCACGAAACTACACGGTTTAGAATAACGTGCATCATATGTCATCATATCTTAATCAAGGCTAGGGTTTCCCTCTACTCGTAGGACTGCCACGTATTGACTAATAAACAAAGGTATACAACTGTGGAGAAGAAATGTGATGTGCAATACTTGAAATTCATTCTCTGTCTGCAGTAAAACATTTTAGTTTGGACAAATGAAGACTATTCCAATGCTACTACGATTAGATAATGCTGATTTAGTCTTTTGCTTCATTGCAATGAGGTCTATACTAAAAATGAGAGCCCTAGAATGATAATATCTTTTCCTTTTTTTTTCTTTGGGGTTGTGTAGGAACTATGTTCGTCCTTAATGTTTCATCTTGGTAAGATGAAGGCACACGTAGAAGCTTTTTCTGTCTACAACATGTTGAGATATAGCAAAGGCACAATGTGCAAGGCCTTTCATGAGAAGATTCTCCACATTCTAATAGCAGGGCGTCTTCTTAAAGATGCCTATGTAGTAGTAAAGGTTTGCCTTCCTATATTATGTTGATATTAATTTACTTATGGTATCTGATTGTTGATGTTCACGTGACATGTTTACGCGATCAGGACAATGGAGAGTTGATTTCTGCACCTTCTATGAAGAAGTTTGCAACTATATTTTTGAAGTCGGGAAACATCAATTCAATGAATGATGTGTTGAAAATGATCCATGGTTTTGGCTGCAAGATTGATCAGGTAACCAATCATGATTGTCGATGTATCTTCTTGGAATATTTATATTAGCTTTTAATTGTCGTAAGTCTCTTCTGTCTGACTAATAGTTTTATTGTTCTTGGCTCCTAGTGCCATGCTGAGAAAGAGGAGACATGTTTGGCTGAAAGTTATTATTTAGCCAATTCAAACTTTTAACCTTTTTTAGTTTTTTATTTTTGTGCTGGGAAAAGCTTCAACTTGTTGTATCTTAGGTTGGACCTTTCTACGATTAGATCCATGTTTTAAACTAGATATGATAAGTAGAACAAGCACGTCTAAAACTTAGCTTCACTTTCTTCCAACACTTTTCATTTTTACTATTTTAGCATTCTAAGTGAGAGAAGCATCAAGCGTCTTCTAGCACGAATCTCCATTTGCTTAAGAGTAATTTCCTTATTAACATTCCTTGCACAAATTGAGAACAAAAGCTCAAAAATCAAGGAATAATACGCCATTTTTATTTTCCTTAACATACCTAATATGCTTTCTTTGCAAGATAAGGAAAACCCTCTAGTCGGTTATTTGTCGAATTTCTTTGGTGAAAAAATAATAATAATAATAAAATCTTTACTCTTTTCAATTCAACTTTGAGTTTCAAATTAAATTTGCCAGTGACCATGCTTCATTCCTCAGGATTTATTTCGGATGGCCATATCACGCTATATTATGAAACCCGAAAAGAAGGATTTGCTTCTGCAACTACTGCAATGGATGTCCGGTAATGGTTATGTTGTCAACTCATCGACAAGAAACCTAATCCTGAAGAACTCACACTTATTTGGTCGGCAACTCATTGCTGAGATACTGTCCAAGCAGCAAATGATGTTAAAAGCATCAAAATCAAATTAAAGGAGGGATAAATAAATCTGAAACCAGGGAGTTCACTGCAGAAAGCAATTTGCTGCACCTCGCCCTCGCAAGCAATTTGATGCGCGGGCAAAAAGTGTGACACACTGATATAACGTGTACACAAGTTGCACTGGTAAGTGTAACTAAATCCTCAGTGTTTTGACTTTCCAATATTAAATGATGTTTGAGTGTCTGACCTATGAATATTTGCATCAGGAAATTGTGAGTTCAGCTTTGTTTGGCAATGTTGAGTTTCTTGGGGGTCTTAATGGTAAGAACTCAGCTGCTCAGTCGCAAATATCCGGTTGCTTTACCTTTGAGCCCGTGACAAATTTGGCTGCTATGAGTGAAAGATATGTCATGTCAGTTTAGTGATTACTATCAGATTTAGATTGTACAAAGTCCCTTATGAGGCAATAAGATTTTCTTGCATTAGCACATAATTTCTCCAGATTTTGCAATCAGAACTGGTATCATGTAATCGATCAAGATGAATGATTAAGAATGGGGTTAAACGGTACTATGAATGGGTTTAATGCAAAAATTATGACCAAGTGTTATTGAGAAAAGGGAAAATACACCATATAGCATATTTCACACTTATGTTTGAAGCAAATAGCATATGTTTTAAAACATTTTAAATTATAGCATATTTCTCTACTCTATTTTAAAAATTTTTTTTTTTTTTTAACATTTACCTTTTTCTCTAGGGTTTTATTCTTTTCTTCCCCACACACTTTCACAGCCACCTCTCTCCCTTTTCTTTCTTTCTCTCTCCTCTCTCTCTCTCTTGTCACGGTCTCTCTCCTCTCCCTTGCGTTCTTTGCCTCTCCTCTCGTCGTGCTCTCTCTATCATTGTGCCACCGGAAGTCGTGGCTGGAAAATCGTGACGGTTGTAAAGAAAGGATGACGAGAAAATGGCGAAGGTCAGTAACAAGAGAAATTGGCACCTGACGAGGCATCTGGCGGCAGCTCCATGAAATCTCGTGGCAACGAGACGTGACGGTAGATCTACATCGGAAAATTGACAAACTCGACTCCGATATTAGTCTCTTTGACCTCGCGAGCAGTTCGGATATTTCTGGTCACCATCTGACTAGATGCTTTTCGTCTAGATCCCCCTGTTGCGAGCAGATCTGGCCAAATCTCACCGGTTTCGCAAACCAGATCCTGGAATTCGTCGATCTAAACCAAATCTCACCAGTTTTGTGGCGACGTTGGATCTTATTTTTTTTATTTTTTTATTTTTTTTTTTTGTGATTTTTATAATTTATGAGTTATGTGGTTTTTGGTGTATTTTTTGTGCATTATTTCGTGATTTTTGTTTAAGTTTTGAGAGTTTTGGATCTGACTTTGTTATTTCATGATTTTTGTTCTTTTTTGTCATGATTTGGTTACCGACGAGGGTTTCTAATAGAGTTTGAGTTTGTGATTTTATTTTGATCCTATTTTGAATCTGATAAATATTATATTTATCAGTAAATACTTTACTGAATTTAAGTTTGAATTTGGTAAATATTTTATTTACCAGTAAATACTTCACTGAACTCAATTTTTTAAAATCTAATAAATATTGTATTTACTAGTAAATACATCAATAAATTGCTTAAATCTGGTCAATATGATATTTACTAGTCATCAGATCGATCGCCAGATTTTCAAATAAATATAGAAAATACGGTATTTATCAATAAATATGTGTTTACCGCTAAATACGGTATTTACCAGTCACCGGAGTCAGTCACCCTATTTTTGGATAAATATGGTAAATACAGTATTTAACAATAAATATAGTAGTTACAATTTACCTTATTTTTACTCGATTTTGGATATAGCAAATACGATATTTACCCAATTTTTGAATATGTTAAATATTGTATTTACATGTAAATACTTTAGTAGTTACAATTTGAAATCTGCTATATTTAACGGTAAATATGGTACTTACCAATAAATACAGTGTTTAATGGTTGTTGGAATCGGTGGCGGGATCTTTAGATAAATATGATATTTACTAATAAATACAGTATTTACCAGTAAATACAGTGTTAAACAGTCGCTGAAGTCAATGGTCAAATTTTCAGATAAATACGGTAAATACGGTGTTAAACGGTCGTCAGAATCGGTGCCCAAACTTTTGGATAAATATGATATTTACTGGTAAATACTATGTTAAACGGTCACCGAAGTCGGTAGCCAAATTTTCGGGTAAATATGATATTTACTAGTAAATACGATATTTACCTGTAAATATAGCATTAAATGGTCGCCGAAATCGGTGGTCGTCTTTTTAGGTAAATATGGTATTTACTAATAAATACGGTATTTACCAGTAAATACAATGTTAAACAGTCACCGGAAAACAGTCATCAGTCACTGAAAAATGGTCACATGTTGCTGAAAAATGGTCTCCGGTCACCAGAGTAGGCTGCCGGTTCCGGCCATGGCGGACTTGACTATAATCTACCCATTTTAAAAAATATGTTATAATTTACTATTTTTAAAAAAAATTAATGTTTAGGGGGAAGAGTGAGGTGAAAAATAAGGTTTAGGGGATATTTTTAAATTTTTAATAATGTTTAAAACTTAAAATATTAAATTATGTTATAATTTACAATTTTTAAAAAATATGCTACAATTTACTAATTACTTTACTAATTATGTTATTTCTTTCATTATTCTAGAAAAATAATACGAGTGTGAGGGTCCTATATGCAGACCACTCCTTCCTATTCATCATATATTTTTCATTGTTTGTTTAACTTAATTAGGGGTTGTTCTTTTTCAATGAAACTCAGAAAAAGTTTAAATTCGAATTACAATTTTATTTAAATTCATATTCTTTTGTAAAATTTGAGTTTGAACTCGAGTTTGAATTCGATTTTGAACTCGAGTTTGGGACTAAACTCGAGTTTAAAGTTTCCCCTTCAACTCGAATTCATAGACTCAAACTCAAGTTAATGAACAATATTTTTTATATTCTTAAAAATGTCATAATTTTTTCGTTTTAATTTTGATTGAGATGATTTTTTTTTCTATGCATTAACAACGAAAAGACGAATAAAACCCCACCCATATACTCTATTAAAATTTTTCATCGCCATTGAGTTTTTATTAAAATACTGTCTAAATACAAATTTAAGTTTTGACTCACCCAAACACAAACTCAAAAAGATTCTCAATTCAAATCATAACTCAAATATGCATATCTAAACACAAACTCAAGTTACAACTTCAACTCAAGTTATAACTCAAACTCCACTTAAGATCATCACTCAAGTCACTCTAACTCAAAAATGTAAAAGAACAATAAGAGAATAACCGAGGCAAGTCCAGTTAATTTGAGTTTAGGCAAGGACTGAATACTGGGGTTGTTCTTTTACAACGAAACTCAGAAAAAGTTTAAATTCGAGTTACAACTTTATTTAAGTTCATGTTCTTTTATAAAATTTGAGTTTGAACTCGAGTTTGTGGCTAAACTCGAGTTCAAGTTTCCCCTTCGACTCGAGTTCATAAACTCGAACTCAAGTTAATAAACAGTATTTTTTCTATTCTTAAAAATGCCATAATTTTTTCGTTTTAATTTTGATTGAGATGATTTTTTTATGCATTCACAATGAAAAGACGAATAAAACCCCACTCATATATCCTATTAAAATTTTTCATTACCATTGAGTTTTTATTAAAATACTATCTAAATACAAATGAGTTTTGACCCACCCAAACATAAACTCAAATAGATTCTCAATTCAAATTATAACTCAAATGTGTACATCCAAACACAAACTCAAGTTACAACTTCAACTCAAATTATAACGTAAACTCAACTCAAGATCATCACTCAAATTACTTTAACTCAAAAATGTAAAAGAACAATAAGATACTCTCATGCATGGTGGGTACTCTTCTTCTCTCTCTCTTTTTTTTTTCTTTTGTTTTTTTTTTTTTTTTTTTTGAGGAAGGTGAGTGCTATTTTGAGGAGAAAACAATTTGTTTATAGTCGAGCTTTTATTATCGATGTGATTATGACATTTAACAACGTGTACTTTTAATCAATATAAGCACGCGCGTATAAAGCTAAATAGTATGTATTTGTGTTGGGGCGCTATGGTTCAATTACTTTTGTAGTTACATATATGTAGAACTAATACATTGAATAATCACTTGGGACAACAACAATCTTCCGGATGCTTTTCAAAATTACAATGGTTGCATGTACCACGCGCATCACCTTGAACTATGGCTATGACCTGTAAACAAAAATTCCACAAAACTTTGAATTTTTTTTTTTTTTTTTTTAATTTGGTCTTCCTTTGTGAACCGAATCACGACTAGAAACTAGTGATCAAATGTTTCATCCAATATGTTGCAAAGGAAACTTGCCTGAAGATTAATTTGCCAATAGAGCCTAAGTGCAATATCAATTAATGTAGCACGTAAGTTATCATTCTTTTATTAGTACGTATTTAAAAAAACAATAATATCAATTAATATTGAAGAGTTGCCATAACTAATGGAAAGACAACAACTCAAAGTTGAAATCTCTAAGCACTGCTCATTGTATTAAACTTCCTTCCAAAAAAAAAAAAAATTGTATATTGAAGAAGCTTACCTCACTTATTGAGAGCCGTTGAGTTGAATCAATTTGCAGGCAGTGCAATGCAGCATGAGCCATATGATGAGCCATCCAAGTACCATCACTTTCCTTTAATCTAGAATCCATCATTTTGCAGAGGAAGCCATTCTCTAGAAGTGGCAATCCCTGTTCACCACCAATCAATGTTTCCACATAGATTTTTATTTTTTTGTGGAGTAATCACAAAACTATAATCCTTATTCCTTGCCACTGCTTTTTCTCTTGTTCTTTTAGTTTTATTTTCCCGAAAAGTTGGTAAAAGAAAATTTTGAGAGAACAGATACTGCAAAACAACACTATTCAACGTGGTTTTTCACAAATGGAGTATGAAACTTTATTATCTGTTTAGTTTGCTGATTCGAGTTTTTAATTTGAATTGAGATCAAATTGAGATATGACTTTATGTGAGAGTTTAGACTGTAACCAAAAAGTTAGATGTGACTGTTTCTGAGAGCTTTTACTGTAACAAAACTCGAATCAGTGAAATGAACGGGGCTTATATACTAGTGAGTGTTGATTAGTAACAACGAAATGAAGCCTAGACGGAAATGATCAAAACGGCCAAATAAAAAAGAATAAGAAGCTAAGAGCAAAACGGTCAAAGCAATAGTGAGGTGACACAGACGAAATTTTCTGAAAGTTTAGAAACAAAAAAGACCGGACACTGTTCAAGAAATACTGCCTCCTATAGTACATAATGTTTAGTCAGAGGAAGTTGGTGTTGAAATGCATTGGAGAAATCAATATTAGTTTGGATGAGATATGTTATTGTTACCCAATCTATCAAGGCCTGGCCTTCTCCTTGCTGTTGAAAATGAAGGGCACTTTTTCCAGTAACCAGCTCAAGAAGGAACATACCATAACCGTGCACATCAACACGAACGTGCTCTTCTTTCTCTCGATTCATACATCTACAAACACCAATTTATGCAGAAGGAGGATCGCACATGCCATTAGGACGTGTTAGTAAAAGTGTATACCAAGCACTTCCATCATAACTAGTAAAAATTAAAGAGTGCTTGTGCCAGATTGATAAAATAATTTTAGGAAGATTTCTTACTCGGCCGACCAATCTTCCTTGCAAGAGCCATCATCCTTGAGCCATTTAGCAGTTGTGAAGCCGCTAAGCTTCAACCACAGTCAAATTCAAATGTTCAGTTCCTAGGAATAGAATTGAGGAGGTTTTTACAGAAGCTATCTAGTTCGTCTGTGTCAAGTAATGATTCTCGCCGAACAACATTTAAAGAAACATTTTGAGGTGCATAGATTTTTTTGAAAATGTCAATCCACAATATGCGTTGTTGAAAATTTTGGATAATGTGCGTTAACACAAAAGTCGAGTTTATATGGTACCATTGCAGAGAGACTATGAGAAAAGACAACATGAGATGAGCAGACAGAGTTGTGAAAGATCGGTCCATCCGCACACTCTTCGTGAAGATACCGGAGGCATCCTCCTATTTCTTGAGCAATACGCCATCTAGCTTTCCACCCCAGATTCTGTGCAAAGTCATCACCTATAGAACTCACAAACCTCAGTCTGATCAGTATAATGTCATATGTTTGACAAAAATAAACATGAGAATGCAGTGACAAGGGAATTAACACTAAGACTCGCAACATTTTACCAGAGCGTGATTTTAAAAGGAGCTCATAAAGTAAGGAAACAGAAGAGAAATTGAAAATAAACGGAGAGAAGAATAAAAGATAGTATGGTCTTAGATAGTATTGACTGCAAGGTCAACCAACATCCAAGCATTCAAATGACTACATGCGGTAGCGAAACATGTTAATCTTCTAATCTATTGGTATTTTGAACTCATACGAGGAAAAAGTAGTCAATCTTACATTGCAGGTTCATGGCGACAGAACCTTTACAAGGGTAGTCAAGAAGCAAGAACCGGGAATCGCCAGTGCAGCAGTATCCAACAAGGTTCATGATGTTGCGGTGACGGATTTGAGTGAGGATATTGAGCATTGACCAAAATCTTTTGTCACTTTCCTTGAAACACTTGACTAAAACAGGTGTTTCTTGCAGCAACCCTTGATAGACCTTTAAGTCATCATCGTCTCTCACAACATTTTCATCAGAAAATCCATTTGTCGTCGCCTCAATCTCATCACGAGAAAACGCTCTTGGAAAATCATTTCTCCAGGAGAGTGGATACCAACAAGGACTTTGAGGAGGTGTTAAGGGTGAACATAACTCTCTCCGTTGATAATAATTTGTATATTCACCAAGAGCGAAATCAGCAACTGGGAAATTTGTCCTAGAACTCCCTTTCGAGCCCACTATGGTAGCAAGATCTTTTCCCTTGATTAATCCAACACTGCAGCTTACATGTCCAAATATGTAACTTGTGTCTTTCTTGAAATGACTGCAAGCAATAAAAGCAGACAAAATTACATTTAAGATCTCCATAAACCTCAGGAAGATGAGAATTTATCATGTCACTGGCATAGAACTTTGAATTTACCAATTTTTCAATAACAAACGACTTAGTAATTGGTTTGCAATTAGAATCTATTCAGCAGATGAATTTGATTTAATAATGCATGTCCTATATAATTTAAACTAACTAGAAATCAAGAAATCGTTTAACTTGCTATTCAAGACTCAGTAAACAAATTGGTGCGCCTAAACCTCACTACTACCGAACTTGGTTAAGTTTATATTTTTAAGTGGATCCAATTAATGCTATTGTTAGAAGCATTTAAAGAATACAAACCAAAATAATTGATACTCAGGAGCAAAATACCTGTCTAACACAATCCATCGAGCGTTCGAGTTTTGTGCTTCTTCTACTGTTAATTTCCCAGCAGAAAATCCTGCAGCAAGTTTAACATCCAACTTTACCTGAAAATAACAAAGTACTATAATATTAGAACTGTCATCATGATTTGTATGTTCATTGTCAGAAAATGTAAAAAAAATTGTCAAACCTCAATCCTTTTGCATTGCCTGTAAAATGGTTGGAGGCTACTCTGATACTGTACTTTTTTTTCCTCAAATTCTTCCTCAAGCTCTCTCGGGTTCACTTCCCCCACAAACTCTAATCTTTCCCCTGCAAATATAAGCCTTTTTGAGCATATTGATCCAAAAAGTAAGCAATTGAGAAAGAAATGGAAAGACCAACAATCCAAATATGATGGTGAAGATAACATTTGGCGTGCAGTTTTCATGCTCTACAATATTATACACAGATAAAGGTACGAAATCTTTTTTTGTCGGTAACTTTTATTTGCTTCATTGGTAGAACTAAGACATTTTCATGCAAAGGGATTCAAGTTCAGTGACATCATGTACTTTCATATGAGGAGAATATTTCATCCAATAGTGCAGGAAAATACTATTTTCAATATTTAAGAACTAAGTATTAATTAAATCTAAAAAAGGGCGTTGCTTATAAACCTAATACTAGTAACATGTTTTGCATATTGTTGGAAAGTAAAGGAAAATAATTAGACTATCTCCAATGTAAATGCACCAAAAAGTGTGATAGGATATGTTATTTTTATTTGTACTCCAATACATAATGCTATTTCAAATGTTAGAATCTACTTTTTATTATAATCATTAAGCTTTCATTAAGCTTTTAAAGTTGCAAAAGTAAACTTTTAATTTCAAAATAATTTGTAAGTGTAAAAGTTGCACGATTAAAATTTAAATGAGAAATTAAACATATCATCCAGTAGCAATAAAATGTTAAATTTGTCATATGTTATATCTCGTGCCAAATTTGTCGTAAGTATGACATATTTGGCACAAGAAATCACACTGTATTGGATAGTGTTCTTTACGCTCAAATACTAAATTTACTATTGACACATTAATTATAGCGTTGCATTAAATTAGCTTTTAGATATTCATCTTTTTAAAATATGGGATGCTACAAATTAAATTCTTGTTCAACAGGAGTATACTTTTTGATTACTAAATTGAAATAAATATACAAAATTACGGCTATATATAATTTTATTGAGTTACGCTATATCATAAGAATAAAGATACACATGAAGACTGTATACGCTTGCTCTAACTTACAAGTGTTTTCCCATAAAAAAAATAAAAATAAAAAAGAACCCTATATGTATTACGCTTCAATATGTATGCATGTACTGAGCTAGCTTAGTAAATTCAAGCATGCCCAAACATATGCTTTCTAATAACTTTAGTGCAAGAAACTTTTTTGTAAAGTTTTGAAAAAAAAAATATTGAGTTTTACACTTCAGCTAATTAACCTCTCAGACTTCACCAATACTACCATGACTGGAAAAAGTTGTTTCAAACGTATAAATATAAATAATATTTATATGTAAAAATTATAATTAGACAATTACATATTCCGGAGATGCCAATGCCCATGAGGAATTTGAAAGGAAAGCAGGAATTATTCTTCTTAGAATTGGAATTAAGGGCGAAGAACTCATGCAGAACTCCCAACACTAGAACTGTGTCCCTCGGACGAACCACGTTTCTGAGAGCCCAGTAAAGAGCATCCATGCTTCCTCCTTTAGCATTACTCTTACTCGCATCCGTCACCACTATTACTGTTTGTCTCGGGATTGCTGACATATTGTAACTGCTCGTATTGATCATCATATAACGCCTATGATCTAATTACTAATTAGTAAGTAAATCCCTTTGTTTCTTTGTGGAATGAAGAACGATTTCCCAAGAAAATAAAAATGGTTATTTGTTAATGAAGATAATATACGTTATGGGGTTTTTGTTTTCTCATGAAAAGTTTGATTCTTTAGTTTATTCCGCCATTTACTATAGTTTGATTCTTTAGTTATTACCGCACATGACGTTAGCTTCAAGGATACGTTTGGAAGCATTTGTATTCAGTTTTCTCGAGGGAAATGGAAATTTTAATTCAATAACAGGCAAACCGACAAGAAATTAAAACAGAAAAGTTTAAGAGAAAGAGGATTATACACGAACAATATAATTGATAACTCGTTTATTGAATTAATGATAGTAATGAAATTCCTTACAGTGTTTTTTATTCCTTTTCAGAGACCGATATTCATGAAGGAAGTCAATTCCCATCACCATCAATATTTCTCAGAAGGCATTTTCTCAAAAGATAAAAATAATAATAAGCGTTAATCTCTACAAACGCTCTATTAAGTTTACTTTCAAAGAAAATTTTTTGCTAAATTTAGCTCACTGATATATCATATTTTTTTTAATCGTTAAATTTGAGTACTTTTATACTTTTAAGTGATTTTATATAGATTTAATAAACAGAAACCTCACTTATCGGTATGTCAGAGTATCAGAGAAAGTCCTTACTTTCAATTTCATTTTAGTCCTTGATTTTTAAAATGTCTCATAATTAGTATTTAAAATTTAATTCTATTTCATTTTCGGTCATTCCATTAATTATGTGTTAAATATTTAACATAATCTATATAAATTAAGGATTAAAATTTAAAATATCTAAATATCTAAAGTTTAAAGACTAAAATAGTATAAAAAATAAAAGTGAATTTCCATTAATAATCTTAAAATTTTAATTGTTTATGATTTTGATCTAATTTACACATTTTTTTATAAAATATTTCACATCTAATTAAAGGAACAACTTAAACAGAAACATAGTAAGACTCCGTTTATTTTACCGATTTAAGTTTAAAATTTAAGTTTTATTACAGTAAAAAATTCTAAAAAATAATTATATTTATTTTTTTATAATTAAAAATTTTTATATAAAATCACCAAATTAAAAATTTAAATTAAGAATTAAACTGTACAAACCCCATCACTAGATCCATCGTCCTCTCTCTCTCTCTCTCTCTCTCGCCAATGGCAGGAACTCCGTACCCAAACCCCATCACTCCCGCCCACACCCGCGTGGGGTGGATCGGCATCGGCGTAATGGGAGCCGCCATGGCCTCCCGCCTTCTCTCCGCCGGCTACTCCCTCACCGTCTACGCCCGCAACCCTTCCAAATCCCACTCCCTCCAATCCCAAGGAGCCAAACTCTCCAATTCCCCGCTTGAACTCGCCCGATCATGCGACGTTACTTTCACCATGTTGGGAAACCCACCAGATGTTCGAAAAATTGTCCTAGAGAACGAAGGCGTTCTTTCGGGTCTCAATCCGAACTGCGCTACCGTCGACATGACCAGCAGTCATCCTGCGCTAGCCCGAGAGATATTCACGGCGGCGCGCGGGAAGAACTGCTGGGCAGTCGACGCGCCCGTGTCTGGGGGCGACATCGGAGCTAGAGAAGGGAAGTTGGCGATACTGGCGGGTGGTGATCGCGGCGTTGTTGAGTGGCTGTCGCCGTTGTTTGAGATCATGGGCAAGGTTACTTATTTTGGCGGAGCGGGTTGCGGGCAGAGCTGCAAGATAGCGAATCAAATCACCGTGGGGGCGAACTTGATCGGGTTGAGCGAAGGATTGGTGTTCGCGGAGCGGGCCGGGCTAAATAAGCGGCAGTTTTTGGAGGCGGTGAGAGGTGGGGCTGCAGGGTCTATGGTAATGGAGTTGTTTGGTGAGAGGATGATTGATGGAGACTTTAGGCCTGGTGGGTTTGCTGAGTATATGGTGAAGGATCTTGGAATGGGAGTGGATTTGATTGAGGAAGGCGATGATGCGAAAGTGGCAGTTTTGCCCGGGGCTGCATTATGCAAGCAGTTGTTTTCTGGGATGGTTGCTAATGGAGATGGGAAGTTTGGGACTCAAGGTCTTATCACAATAATTGAGAGAATTAATGGGAAATGAGACTTCTTTACATGTATGTTAAGAGGCTTGGAGCTATAACTGAAGTGTGCTACGTTGGTTTTGTTTGTCAAAGTTGGCTCAGTTTGCTTTGCCCTTTAATGTAAACAAAATGTTTGCTATTGTATGGAGGATCCATTGGAAATAGGGCTTCTTTACGGTTAGTGGTTTGGGGTCCGATTTCCCAACAGAGAGGTCAGGGAAGGGAAGATGTGAAAAGGGATTGAGCCCTTGTAAGCTTCAGTGATCGATAATTGGTAGCGATTCAACTAGAACTGAGGTGTGCTATTATTTCTTAAATAAAGTTTGCTTGGTTTGCCCCGCCTTGTGTGAAGAAATGTATGGTGTTTGTGAATTTATGATCTAATGGTAGCTGTGTAAGTTCAAAGGAAATAGACGTTTAGTTGATTCCTCAAAGTTGAAATGGAAATTGGGTACTTTTTTTTTTTCACGTGAATGAACTCACTAAAACGTTTCAGAGCAAGCAAGCCTTTTCCAATAACTTTGTATCTAATATGATCGAGAAGTAATAGACATTCTCTTTTCCTTTTCAATTTACATCCTGTTGATATCTTCCATTGGATTGCTATGATATAAGTGTAATGTTATTCTCTTGTTCCATTTGTGAAGCACAGATTTCAGCAGATAGTTTAAAATATTGATGTATCCAGGCTTTATCAGAGTAGGGAAGTAGTGAAAAACCGGAACCCATCTCCTCCACCATGAGCCTGCTTCACGCTACATATATTATTTGGCTTCCGTGTTGGGGTTGGTAATACAAGATTCCTCAACACTCCTCCATAATATGACTTTTCCACCCAGAGAATAATACCAAATTCAAACTTTCTAATGCCCTTACGTGACTAGAAATTCGTATTTGTCTATCCTATAGGAGTCAAGTCCTTGTCATATTTTTACATGTTAACATAATCTCTCATTCTTTTAAGAAACTTTGAAAATATGCTAGACATCAACCTAATTTTTCTCGAGATTGCTCGAGCTTCCACATGTTTTAGGACTCGTTCATTTCATTAGATCGAATCGTAACTCAAGTTTTTACTACGGTATTTTCTTTCACAAAAATTAAAATTTAACTTTTTGTGCTACAGTATTTTTTCTCACATAAATTCACTTTTCAACTCTAATTGAAAACTCGAACCAGTAAAAAGAATGAGGTCTTAGACAATCTCAAATGTAAATATTAATACTAATTGTATATTTAGCATTAAAAAATGTGATATGATATGTTTTTTTTTTTTTTTTTTGCATCAATATAATGCTATTTAAAATTATAAATCTACTTTTTTTCTAAAAGTAAACTTTTATTTTTAAAATAATTAAAAAATATAAAAGTTGTATTCATTACATGAAAAAAGTACACATTTCAACCGATAGTAATTAAATGTCAAAATTTTCATATGTTATATTTAATGAGAAATTTACCATAAAATATAATATATAAAAAATTTAACACAATAAATAACATTACATTAAAAAATATTTTTATAATTAAATATTAAATTTATAATTAACACATTAATTATAATATTACATTAGAGATGCTGGCCTTTTAGTGAGTGAAAATTTAGCAAGCGTTGCGTGTTGCGGATGATAAGAAGAAGAAAAATGTAAGCCGATAGTCGATGTGGTCGGTTCCAAATGTGGCCATCCTACCACGGTCCTATCACACCCCTCAACATAGACGTCCTCTATGCTTCTCTAAAATCCCTTCAGTTTATTTCCTCTCACTTGTTTTTTTCACTACGTAGTTATGATGTAAGAAAAAACAAAAGTTAGAATGTACGTGTCCAAAAAAAAAATATCTAGTACGTACTTAAAAATTAAGTTTTTTTAATTATTAAATCCCCATATTTTTAAATTTTTATGTTATTTTATATAAATTTAAAGAATAAAAAATTTAATCTACCGGTATATTAACGTATTAGAGAATGACTAAGAAAAAAAGATTAAATTTCTTTTTCAACAGCCACTTTCTAATTAATGGCAAGTTTTTACATTGAGTTTTAGCCTTTAGGCCGGTACCCCAGAAAGTGCTAGACTTAGCAAAAATGTTTGGTTGGTGTATTCGTGTCATGATATAAATTATGGTTCGTGATCCGTTACAGTATTTTCTCTCATAAAAAATACACGTAAATCAAGAATAATTTTGAATTATGATTTTAATTCATGAACTAAACGTTACATTGCTGAGATTTGATTAGGAGGACTAGGCTACTGCAACATCAGGATTGGGCATGAATGGGTAATCGCAGTGTCGGTATCTAGGGAAAGGATAGCTGCAGCATTTGGCGGGGTTGCGGGTGCAACGATGACGCCGGTACCTTGCTAGGGTGAGGGTGCAACAGTGGGTGGGGGCAATGATGGATTGTTTTATTTTTTATTTTTTTGTCTTTTTTTAATTAATTTCCAATTTCCAATTTGATTAAAAAGGCCTATCATACTTGGAAATTCATGTGCTTGTCACGTAAAGATAACCATCCATAAAAAATTTAATATCGTTTATAATTAGACTTTTTATGTAACAGATTCAACATTCGAGGAGTCAATTGTCAAGAATTTTAGTTCAAGGGTTGATTTTCTAAGGATGACAAGTTCAAGGGTATCAATCATATGATGAATTTTTATACACAATTGCACATCACATTCTGGCAATGAGAGAAAAAAAAAATCGCACATGTCACACGCATATTACTTTAGTATTATATGTAAATTTTTTTAAGTCCGTTCAATTTATGCGTTTAAACTAATAATTTTTAATTTTAACATTTAAATTTTAAATTTTTTATAAAAAAAAATATTGTAACAGAATTAAAATTATGAATATGAATGACACAGGACTCGATAACAACATATATACATGTATATTGTTCTATTCATTCTTTTTTATTTTTTTAATGTTAACGAATTGAGAAATGTTGTTCTTCACGAAAAGCATCAACTGGAATTTCACGAATCACAAAACGAAAGTCGCGTGCAATGCAAGTGGACTTTATTGACTGGTGCTTTTACGGTTTTATCCCAACCAAAAACAGAGGAAAAACAAAAACAAAAACAAAACAAAAAAACAAAAAAACAGGACGTCGTGAGAGAACTTCCTTAGAGAACTGTGATGGAAGACATTGCCGGGAAAAAAAAAAAAGAAGAAAGTGAAAAAAACTTGTTCTCTTTTGGGGTATATATCCCTTCCTTTGGCGAGTAGTTCAGTAACTTCCCTGTCTCTACGGATGGCTTATATATTTCTTCGTTTTGTTTTTTCAATTTTTTTTCTGGTAAATGCACTAAATAATATTTTCTGAATATAGTTTTGAAGTGGGTAAATGCACTAAATAACATTTTCTGAAAATAATTTTTAAGTAAATAGCATATTTTTTAAAATTTAATAAATTATAACATATTTTGATTTTTAATTTATGGTTTTACAAATATACTCATATTTTGATGCTTCTCTCTCTTAATCTCTCTCTCCCACCTTCATGATTTCACGTCCAGACATCTCTCTCTGTTTGTCTCTCTCTTTGAGGATAACTTGCGGTCACTGTCACCAAAGATCAGAGATCATGATTCTCCAGTTCTTTCTCTTCCCTCATTGCTGTCGTCGCTGATTTGTGGCGAAAAATAGGAGATCGCAAAGTGAGATCACGATTTCCTTGCTTCTCTCCCCTCCATCTATCGGTTCTCTCCCACCGGCGTTGCAACGCTAATCTCACGGAGACGATGTTCTCACGAACGGCGGACTCCAATAACGCTAATGGTTGCCACCTCATTCTTGGTGCTCACGAACAAGATTCTGATAAATACAGTGTTAAACGGTCACCAGAGTGAGTAACAGATTTTCAGATAAATATGATATGTACTAATAAATACAATATTTATTAGTAAATACAGTGTGAAACGATCGCTGGAGTGGGTGATAAATTTTCGGTTAAATATGATATTTACTAGTAAATACGGTATTTAACGGTAAATACAGTGTTAAACGGTTGCTGAAGTTAGTGGTCAGATTTTCAGATAAATATATTATTTACTAGTAATTACGGTATTTACTACTAAATACGGTATTTACAAGTAAATACATTGTTAAATGGTGTCTGTGTCGGTGCCTGAATTTTTGGATAAAATACGGTATTTACCGGTAAATACAATGTTAAACGATCGCTGGAGTTGGTGGCCAGATTTTTTAGATAAATATGATATTTTCTAATAATTACGGATTTATGAGTAAACACGATATTTACAATAAATACAGTGTTAAAAGGTCACTAGAGTCGGTGCCTGAATTTTTAGATACATCTGATATTTACTAGTAAATTCAGTATTTACTGGTAAATACAATGTTAAACGGTCACCAGAGTCGGTGGCTGAATTTTTGGGTAAATATGATATTTACTTATAAATATAGTATTTATTAGTAAATACGATATTTACTTGTAAATGCAGCGTTAAACGGTCACCAGTGTCGACGGTTGGCTTTTCAGATAAATATGGTATTTCTTAGTAAATATGATATTAAATGGTAAATACGGTATTTACCGGTAAATATAGTGTTAAACGGTCGTTGAAAAATAATCACCGAAAAATGGTGATTGGTCGTTGAAAAATGACCGGCTGCCGGTCCCAGCCATAGTGCACATGACTATAATCTACATATTTTAAAAAATATGCTATAATTTACCATTTAAAAAAATAGATATTTAGGGGGGAGAAATGAGGTGGAAATAAAAATTTAGGAGTATTTTTGAGTTTTTAATACTACTTAAAATATAAAATTATGCTATAATTTATTATTTTTAAAAAATATGCTATAATTTACTAATCACTTTACCAATTATGCTATTTCCCTCCTTATTTTTTCGGTGGTTTGTTTTTTTTTTTTTTTTTTTTTTGGCAAAAAATTTAGCTTTTGAGGGAAGTTATCTTACTCAAAAAAAGAAACATAAAATGGCAACAACATCGAAACCCCTAAATCAAGTTTACCACACGACAGATCTTAAGGAGGAGGAGAGATGGAGAGTTTCCTTTTTTTTTTTGTTTTTGCTCTAATAGAGATAGAGAAAATTAAAAGTGTGATTTTTTAAGATGACACAATAAGGTGCAAATCTGGTTAAAGTTGATGATTGTTGGGTGTGAAGGGTGTAGCAGTTGAAAAAAAAAAACTTGGAAAATCTGGGTGAGATGGAGAAACCGAAGATATGTGATTGCAGACACTTTAAAGAAAAATAATGAAAATAAGGGAAACTTTTTTTTTTTTGCTAATGATAAGGGAAACTTTTTTTTTATTCTTATATGTAGTGCTTATTGTCCACGTGGCGTCATCTCACGGGTTCATGATGAGATTCACGAATTAAAATTCTATTCATTTCACCGATTCGAGTTTAGAATTTAAATTTTATTATAGTAAAAGATTTTTAAAAATAATCTCATAAAATCACATCAATTTAAATTAAAAATTTAAATTAACGAATTAAACGGGTTCTAAAATTCGTAAG